TCCTTTTCCATGTATTCTCCGTACTGTAGTCTGCAATACGTTTAGAAATCATACAGGGTCCAAAAGCTTCCACTCATATTTCTACAGTTGTTTTTGTTATGATAAAAGGAAATATAAGGTATTGGCAATTCAGACGAATTACAAAAAAAGGAGAAAACATTGAAAAAGTGTGTTCACTTTCCTTTTTGAAAATTCCCAATATTGACATTGACCGGATCAATGAGACAATGTGCAAGTTCATTCAGACGCACTGACGGGGTGCAGGTTCAGGACGTTGCTCTGTACAGGGCCCGTTTTCATGAAACCGTTATCATGCTTAAACATTGATTTTGCGCTAAAAACATTTTTTGTTCCGGTTAGAAATTAATAATAAAATCTTACTTTGTCAATGATTTTGGAGAAAAACATTGAAGAGACTAAAAGCCGAACACTGTTTTCAATTGTCTTTTTGATCGTTTGATAATATTCAAGTGAGCTAGAAAGAAGTGGTTTGAGCACAGAAGGCATGCTTGAGCATGATAGCGGTTTAAGGAATATGGGCACAGGTGCAGGTCCATATACGCATTCTTACCAGGTATTTAATCATTAAGAAACAATGAGCTGGTGCAGGTTCATTTAGATATATTAGAGGGGTGCAGGTTCAGGGGATTTTCTGACTAGGTGTAGGTTCAGGGGGATATTCTGATCTGGTGCAGGTTCATTGAGGTATTCTGAACAGGTGCAAGTTCATTGCAGTACTCTGAACAGGTGCAGGTTCATTGAGATGGCCGAGTGCAGGTTTCGGGGGACGTATAATAACGAAGGTGCAGGTCCCATTGGGGCAATGGGGCAATGGGGCATCTTCGTAACCATGCGCAGGTTAGCAGACATGTTATCAATGTACGTATTTGCATGGACTTACAGTTTACCATGAATGTTTGCTGCAGTTAAATTTCGCCTTTTTAGCTGCTAAATGTATCATTACAGCGAATATTTGTAAACAGCATATCAAATGTGAGGGGCAACTTTGATATTAGATAAATATGAATTGTGCTGGCCAAAACAAACATTTGACTGGGCGACAATTTCCTGCCACACGGTATATTATTTAAGGATTAACTTGAATATATTTTTCATGTTATTGAGATATAACACAAAAAAACGAAGCGGTCTATGATGAGAGTACACTCCGGGTTTTTTTTGTGTGTTATAGCTCCATAACATGAAAAATATATTCAGGTTAATCCTTATAATTTAATCTACTATGCACAATCCCTGTGGAAATCCACTTTTATTGATGGACTCTTTTCTCTTAGAAATTATTGCGCTGCAGTATCAGCCAATCAAAAGCGACGTTACAAATGGGGACGTCATTTTTTTACGTTATGGACTGATAACATAAATTTGTAAGCCAATGAAAATGCTTGTTAAAAGCAAGATTAAATTATATACATGTATAGGGAAGCACTGAACAAGGGGTGCTTCGAAAGATTAGAAGGCTGGAATAGTGTTTGGAATAACAATTCTAACTAGATGTGACAGGATATATTGACTGTGTGCAGGTGTAGTGAGGGATTTGTAGTATTCAAAGAACACACTCTGATGGATGATTGTGATTGATGAATTAAAAGTTTGAAGATTTGAACAGTAGGTTGGTTTTACAGCGTTAAACGTCCTATCAAGGGCTATGGTCACCACTCCATATGAATTGTGCATGCGTACATGCATGTGTGCTGGAGGCAGAGTACATGTTGCTGTAATTGCCTCCTTGTGATAGCGCGGTTCTGATGCCGACTTTATAGTGCTACCTCACTGAAATATTATGTTGAAGGCAGCCAGCACATCATTCCGCCCGGTCACATTATACTGACAACGGGTAAACCAGTTGTTACCATAACCCTAGATGCTGAACGTTTGGCAGGGAATAACAACTATCAATGTTTAATGAATTCGGTATAACCATCACTAGGGATGGAACCAATTGCTTTCCTTGCAATAAAGACAAAAGTGAGGTTTTGCCAGGCAAGGTGTTAGGAAACAAAATGTAGAGATCAGAGAGAAATAGGAGGCATAAACGTAAATCACAAAGGTTCTCCCATTAGTCGCCTCCTTCGATCATGCATTGGGGTACAGCAGGTCATTATTGGGGACACAAAAACAACCCAAATAAATCTACTGCACCCATTGAAATACTTGCGATCTTGGTCTTTCTCTCTACCTTTAACTACCTTTTATTATCTAGAGCCTTGCTTGGCAATTCCTAACTTTTGGCTTTAGTTTGGAGCGTTCACCTAGGTGAGAAAGCTAATGGATTTTGGAAATTTAGCAATGAAGATTCCTGATTAAACTTATCTTCATCCGACGCGCTAGCCGTGATCTGATCACGTTTTGAAGTTTTTCTCTACATCTTTATCAAAGAATGTCTAAGACTTTTGGTGAAGATGTGGGGTAGCCGAGGCCACATGGTAAATTTGGATAACGAATTGGGCGTCAATGATGATTTCAGTGCGCTCTTGTGATGTCTAGATCAGTTCTCGCGGGTCAATCATACGTATAGGTCTTGTTTAATTATGAACAAAGTGTTTGTTACCTCATCACAGTTTGGAATGGTGAGAGTTTTAGTGGAATTTAGTCAAGACGTTCTCCAAGTCAGCAATGTCTAGCTACGGGTTTGATTGAAATTCAACAGTTTAGTTAGAGACAGGAAATTGGCTTTCTATAAAGTGGTGTCGGTCTACTAAAGTATGGGTAATATTTGTAAGTTTAGTGAACTAGATTTTTACACGTGCACATTTGTAATAGAAAATTCCGTGGACAGTGTTTGTATACCGGATAGCACAGCTCTAGAGGAACCAAAATTTTGGCGGGAAACGACTCAATTTTGTCCTTTCGCCAGTTTCCGAAAAGAGTTACCCTGTATCATTTTCAATATCAGCATATTTCCACAGATGCTGTTACTATCTTTGCAAGGGCATTTAGTTTAAAACTAACCCTTGTTTCTTTTTCCAATCGGGTCCATTTTCAACGTTACACCGGGCTTAGATCGCCAGTTTCTGTCCAATACAAAACAAAGACAGTATAGAATCTTAATAATGGTACACTTTTATTTAAAAATAATCAATGTGCTGGTCAATTACAAAACTGGAAAATAAAATGAGACGAGATGACACAAGATACACATCAATAATTAAACGGGTGCTTGTATCTAAATGACCCCCCCCCCCCCCCTCTCCTCCCCAATAAATATGGTTAGTTATCAAGTCGAAACAATATATTTCTGCAGTTTATCTCATATATTAAAGTTGTTCAGTTGAGGAAATGTGTTGTATGTTATCTATAACTCAGAGATTATGTCTACATCATTAAGTCGTAAGTCGACAACGCGATGGCAGAAATATGCCTCCGTATGATCCGGATCTTTCTGTGTCAGCGAACCCTAAATTACAGTGTGGAATGGAAAAGATAAAAAAAAGATAGTTAAAATGGTTTAATTTTGTGAAAAATAAAAATGAAGATTCGGTAAAAATAAGTGAAGTACACAAACACTTGAAAAGGAATAATCCGAAAAATACAAATATCTGTTTTTGTTTTTCAATGACAAAATCGACAAGACAAGGTTGCCCATTATCTCCGATGCTATTTAATAATCAATCAATAGACCTAGTTTGCAGAGACATACAGCTATTTTCTGGAAATGAAGAAACTGTTCCCTGACTGCAATTCGAAATAAGAAAACATTTATTTCAGAAATCGAAAAGTCAGTGCAGGGAAGTACACCTAGTTAACCTATAAAATGTACCATTCAGCCATTTTGTCCATACAGGACTCCTATGTGATACTTAAAGTGAACAATTTACTGTGTCTCGCAAAATGTAGAAACACAATAACACCCATTGGCCTTGACTGTTAGTTCACCTTTTATGCCTCCCCCATCAAGAGCCAGGGTCAAAGTCAAAGATCCACTTTGTCTTTTACCTTTAACCCCGTGACCCTGATCTTTGGTCAGTTGTCTTATTCTTTAATTCCGACAAAACAAAATAATCATCGGTGAAAAATACAAAACCTGATCTTGACCTTGAACCTTTTGACCCCGTAACCTGGACATTTAGTCAGTTGACTCCGTGTTAAATTCTGAACAACTTTGCTTCATAATAACTAAAAAAAATGTTCTTCAGTAAAAAGATACTATACTTGTCATTGACATTGACCAAGTGACCTAGACCTTAGGTCAGTTGACTCCTTGTTAAAGTCCGACCAACTTTGATTCATAATGTCATAACAAAATGTTCATCAGTGAAACGATACAAAATCTTACATTGACCTTTGACCCAGTGACCTTGATCTTTGATCAAATGACTACTGGTTTAATTCCAAACTACATTGCCTCAAAGTGTCATAACTAAATGTTCACCAGTGAAAAGATACATGATTTAACCTTGACCTTCAACCCAGTGATCTTGACCTTACGTCAGTTGATCTCTTGTTAAATTCCAACCAACATTGCTTAATAATGTCATAACGAAATGTTCATCAGTGAAAAGATACAAAATTTGACCTTGATCTTTGACCCAGTGACCTTGACCTTTAGTCAATTGACTCCTTTTTTAATGATGACCAACATTGCTTCATAGTGTCATAACGAAATGTTTTTTAGTGAAAAGATACAAAATTTGGCCTTGACTTTTGACCCACTGATCTTGACCTTGGGTCAGTTGACTCTTTGTTTAATTCCGACCAACTTTGCTTCATAATATCATAAAATGCTCATTAGTGAAAAGCTACATAATTTGACCTTGACATTTGACCTTGACCTTTGGTCAGTTGACTCTTTGTTTAATTCCGACCAACTTTGCTTCATAATGTCATTGAATGCTCATTAGTCAAAATCTACAAAATTAGAACTTGACCTTTGACCTTGACCTCCGGTCACCTGATTCCTTGTTTAATTCTGATCAACTTTGCTTAATCATGTCAAAACAAAATGTTTCATCAGTGAAAAGATGCAAAATTTGACCTTGCCCTTTGAACCTAATGACTTTGACCTTTGTCCTTGACTTTTTCCATCAATGTGTATTTTTGTGAACTGAACATCAACAAGTTATTAGTCAGGAACAAAATGTGTGGACCGACAGACAGACGGACGGACAGACGGACAGACAGAGTGATTACTATAGGGCACCCGTATCTTCGATACGGGCCCCTAATGAACACAGAAGTCGTATTAAGTATGTCTTCAATTGGCTAACCGCCAAAACTGGTACACTGGTCTTTCTTTCTTGTACACCATGCAATTTTAATTGAAATATGATGTTCCCATCAACATACAATTTGCAAAGTTATGTTTTAAATATTTTACATTAAGACTGAACGAACTACAGATTTAGTCACTTAACACCTTGTTTGATTCTTACCAACTTTGCTTCATAATGTCATAACAAAATGTTAACCAGTTGAGGGATGTAAAATTTGACCTTGACATTTGACTCAATAACCTTAATCATTAGTCAATTGAAACCTTGTTTGATTCCGACCAACTTTGCTTCATAATGTCATAACAAAATGTTAAGGAGTTAAAAGATACAAAATCTGACCTTGACCTTCGATCAGCTGACTGCTAAGAGCAAAAATATTTTTTTTAAATATTTAGCGAATCAAAAGAATGTAGGTTACCAAACATTTATAAATTTCCCCTTTGTTGCATATTGTTTTCATTATACTGAACATAATAAAGTTGTACAGCGAAAAAGGACAATCTGAAATTGCGACACACTGACAATTAAGTGATCTATCTAGAGTAAAAAGAGTGACATTTTGGCTTTTCGTGACGCGCAAGAAATACACAGAAATACACATTTTTAAAATGGCCGCTATTAATGTTTGCTATTTAAATAAATCATACTTTATTTATTACTTCATTTACCCCTTACAAGAGATCAAAACCAGACTTGAAGGTGTTTGAACCTCAGAAAAGTACATCCTAAACAAATACAATGTTTATAAAAGAAATTGTTCGATAAATTCAAGTGGATTTTTATGAAAAAAAATCATGAGGCGGTAAATGGTCCATAACGCCCTAAGTCCTTTACAATCCCACTGACGTTCATTAAAAAAATACAATCAAACAAACTCTTAAATAAATAGTTTTACAAAAACAACTCTATCAAATATGTATGAAAAAATGCAAAGTGAAATATTATAATAATTAGCTAATATCTCACCAGAAAGATTATTGATGGATAAAGTAAGGGAAGTAATGAAGTGTAAACGCAACGTTTAATAGCAAACCAAATCGATGAAACAAATGAGTTGGTGTTCCGGAAGATAAAGCGTTCTCTGCTTTATCATCAACATACGCCATGCATGACTAGGTCAAATTCAAAACGTGAAAGCCCTCTCGATCCTTCAACAAACTGCACCTACAATAAGTCCAAATGATGTCTCGTTATCAAATAATAACTGAGGTAATGGCAACAAAACCACCTACACGTATTCGAGCAAATTTAGAATTCAGACGAGTAAACATGAGAAAATAGCTGAAGGAAACACAAATGACATGTATGTGGTCAACAATGCTCCAAAGGAAAAGGAAACACTACGATACAAAATATAATTTCAATCATAAAATTGAATGGTTAACACCTTTTTACATATTCACTACGAAATTGTACTGTCATTGAAGCAGTAATTTATTATCATGTTGATGCAAAATATGATCTTAGGGTGGTGATGACCTTGATACAATGAATAACATTAATATGATAAATACGATGGCAAACTTAAGATCTTCAAATGTTGCATGAAGTTTGAATTATAAGTGAACTGAATCTTATGCACGGCTTTTGTGCTGAATGAATATTAACTGAAGCGATATAGAGTCTGAACCTTATCTGGAGACACTAAACAACCCATTTTTGGTGTAGTACAGCGAGACAATGAGTGCTGAAATTTAGAAAGGAATTATGATGCAAATTTGATGACCGAGAAGTTCAGGTTGACCTGATGGATGGTTGTATGGACAATTTACAAGATGAATAGCTTTAATAAGATATCTTTAAAACATGTATATAGACACTGGCTATTATGATACAGGTGAATGCATGAGGTGGATATCTGATATGTATTCAACGTCAACGAATGACTGGCCATCGCAAACAAACCAAACCTGAGAGTTTACGAAATTAATTTGTCAACAAACATTTTATGGGTGGTTAAATGATTAGTGTTTTGTTTTACCAATTGATCAAATGATTACATCAGATACGATTAAAAGAAAACAATCAAATTCTAAAATTTCGAGCACCTCTTATAAGTTTAAATTTACATTATTTTTATGTTCAAATGAACATAGTAATAAACATCAATCTCAAAGATCATTACGTTAAGTTAAAATCATCTGAGAGTAAATAAACATCAATCTCAAAGAACATTACGTTAAGTTAAAATCACCTGATAGTAAATAAACATCAATCTCAAAGAACATTACGTTAAGTTAAAATCATCTGATAGTAAATAGACATCAATCTCAAAGAACATTACGTTAAGTTAAAATCATCTAATAGTAAATAAACATCAATCTAAAAGAACATTACGTTAAGTTAAAATCATCTGATAGTAAATAGACATCAATCTCAAAGAAAATTACTATCAGATGATTTTAACGTTTTCTTATTTCTTATATAATTTCTTATAACAATTAAGGATATCTCATGTGATGTAGGCGTATACAATGGGATACAGTGCATCCATGTTACAAGCGTATAACTAGGGGCGACATCTCCTATACAAGTTAAAAAGTAAGGAAGAGAACTCTAAAAAATCTGATACAGGAATTAGTGAAGAAGAACTCTCATACAAGTAATTAGAAATCACAAACATGCATTTACAAAAAGGAAGAGAATGCATTATATGATATAGGGAAAATGACTGTAAAGCCAAAATATATCTGGTAAACTGTGCTAACTAATGGATAGGAAATAACTCAAGTAATTGACATTTTTACTGCGCAGAGATAGCATACACATTAACTAGAGTAAATATATTTTAGCTTACACATTTCCTTTGTCATTCTTTATCGTTTTAGATTCAGTTAGAAGCAGTCTGTGGGAAGTTAACAAAGACACATTTTGTTCTATCATTTGTCCTGGAAATGACACCATTTCTCCCGTCGGGAAAAGGCTCTTTCTTCACGTCACTGTTGAGGAGTATGTCTTCGTTTTTTATCTAAACATTGCGAAAATGAACACATCACACATATGAATCTACACCAATTGTATCAAAACCTGACGTCATTATCACCACATGACGTCACATAAACATTATCACAACATGAAGATAGTGCTCGTATTTTATCATTTGACTAATTGAATATTTGAATGTCACTGTCACTTAAACGTTTAGAATATCAATATATTAGCAAAACGTTATCATTAATAAGAAGGAAATATGCTATATTTCCTTGATGAAAACCCTCCAAAGTATTAAAACTGCTACCATTACATAAAAGAAACTCGGTTACCCTTGCTAGCCCTGCCTTTGCGTTCACCGATTGCGCCACTGTCACGATGTTCAGGATGAGTCGTATCGTACACATGCTCCTGGCCTTACGAACGTAACATAACAACATACACTTGCAGTATTCAGTTTAACAAAACACTCACTGAAATGTCCTTACAGAATTAAATGTTTCTATTTCTGTTTCCATGGGGGAAAAAACATGGAAAATGGTGATGACTTTATCGCTCTTTATACAGTATCACAACTAAACACGCAGAAAACGTAAGTTAACCAATGCATCCCTAAGATAAAAATAATATGTCACAACATTTTATAACTCTGTTCAGAGGTTTGACCAAATTCGCTACCCAATACTGGGAGGCACTCGTATATCAGCTTACCAAAGTCCATCCTTTGGCAAACTTTTCAAAGTTCACATACGCTCTTATAATGACCAACCATTATAACCTAAGAAGTGCTCAAAGTTTATGCTAGCATGATAGTGACATAGAACAAAACTTCTGAATAGGTAACTAAATTGGGAAGAGCGACCGTATTATATTTTGATCGAATAATGATCTTGGTCCATTTAATTTTTACTCTCAGAATTTATAATGTCTTTATAATATTGTCAATACATATCTGCAGTTTTTGCAGTGTAAGGGGAATCTTAATTTAAAGAAATATGGTGCACTGTTTAAACGGCATTAACTAATAGTCAATTTTTGCCAGATCCAGGATAATCCATTAAAAGTTTCTTCGAATTATTGTCAAAACTTTGGATAGATACATTTGGATTAATCATTTCTTCAACAGGAACCCAAACAAGATCAGACGACGAACGCAAAAACCATAACACAGGATCAACGACGTCAAGTAAGCTGTATCTAAGCCCGTAGGACAGCATGCTATAATATACACTTACCTCCAGTTTGTTCCAATTTAATGTATTTGTTTTTTTCATCACTTCGAGAAGCGCCACCTAATGAGCAAAACAAATACATAATGTAGGCAACAAACAAAGATAATGATAAAAATAAACAGAATCGTTAAACAAACCCCCAACTAGTACGCCTTTATAACGTTGCCAATACATATCTGTAGTTTTTTGCAGTGTAAGTGGAATCTTACTCTAGAGAAATATGGTGCACTGTTTAAACCAGTATCCCCTACATCGGCATTAACTAATAGTCATTCTTTGACAGATCCAGGATAATCCATTATATGTTTCTTCGGATTTTTGTCTTACCTTTGGATAGATATATTATGGATTACCATTAACTTGAAACGGTAACTGAACAAGATCAGACGACGAACATAAAACTATAACATAGGGTCAACGACACTAAGTTAGCTCTATCTAAGCCCGTAGAATAGCATGTTATAATGTAAACTTACCTCCAGTTTGTTCTAAATTAATGTATTTGTTTTTATCATCTTTTCGAGAAACGCCACCTAATAAACAAAACAAACACAGAAGGTTGGCAACAAACAAAGATAATGATAAAAATAAAACTGAATCATTAATTACCCCAATTATTACGTCTTTATAAGGTTGCCAATACATATATGTAGTTTTTTGCAGTGTGAGGGGAATCTTACTCTAGAGAAATATGTACACTGTTTAAACCTTTATCCCCTCTATCAGCTTCACCTAATAGTCATTATTTGCCAGATCCAGGATAATCCTTTAAATATTTCTTCGTATTATTGTCCTAACTTTGGATAGATATATTCTGCATTAAAATTGACTTAAACAGGTAACTACACAAGATCAGACGACCAACGTAACACCATAACATAGGATCAACGACACAAAGTTAGCTGTATCGAAGCCCATAAGATAACAATGTCTTCAACCGGTACCTGAACGAGATCAAACGACGAACGTAAAACCATAACATAGGCTCAACGACACAAAGTTAGCTGTATCGAAGCATATAGGATAACAATTTCTTGAACCGTTACCTGAACGAGATCGGACGACGAACGTAAACCATAACATAGCATCAACGACACTAAGTTAGCTGTATCTAAGCCCGTAGAATAGCATGTTATAATGTAAACTTACCTCCAGTTTGTTCTAAATTAATGTATCTGTTTGTATCATCATTTTGAGAAGCGCCACCTAATGAACAAAACAAATACATAATGTAGGCAACAAACAAATATAATGATAAAAATAAAACTTAATCATTAATCAAACCAACTAATACGTCTTTATGACGTTGCCAATACATATATGAAGTTTTTTTGCAGTGTAAGTAGAATCTTACTCTAGAGAAATATGTTGCACTGTTTAAACCAGTATCCCTTACATCGGCATTAACTAAAAGTCATTCTTTGCCAGATCCAGGATAATCCATTAAATATGTCCTCGGATTATTGTCTTAAGGTTGAATAGATATATTATGGATTATCATTAACTTTAACCGGTAACTGAACAAGATCAGACGACGAACGTAAAATCATAACATAGGATCAACGACACCAAGTTAGCTGTACCTAAGCCCATAGGATAACAATTTCTTCAACCGGTACCTGCACGAGATCAGACGACGAACGTAAAACCATAACATAGGATCAACGACACCAAGTTAGCTGTATCTAAGCCCGTAGAATAGCGTGTTATAATGTAAACTTACCTCCAGTTTGTTCTAAATTAATGTATTTGTTTTTATCATCTTTTCGAGAAGCGCCACCTAATGAACAAAACAAAAACAGAAGGTTGGCAACAAATAAAGATAATGATAAAAATAAAACTGAATCATTAATTACCCCAACTATTACGTCTTTATAACGTTGCCAATACATATATGTAGTTTTTTGCAGTGTAAGGGGAATCTTACTCTAGAGAAATATGTACACTGTTTAAACCTTTATCCCCTCTATCAGCTTCACCTAATAGTCATTATTTGCCAGATCCAGGATAATCCATTAAGTTTTTCTTCGGATTATTGTCCTAACTTTGGATAGATATATATTCTGCATTAAAATTGACTTTAACCGGTAACTACACAAGATCAGACGACCAACGTAACACCATAACATAGGATCAACGACACAAAGTTAGCTGTATCGAAGCCAATATGATAACAATTTCTTCAACCGGTACCTGAACGAGATCAGACGACGAACGTAAAACCATAACATAGTATCAACGACACCAAGTTAGCTGTATCTAAGCCCGTAGAATAGCGTGTTATAATGTAAACTTACCTCCAGTTTGTTCTAAATTAATGTATTTGTTTTTATCATCTTTGCGAGAAGCGCCACCTAATGAACAAAACAAAAACAGAAGGTTGGCAATAAACAAATATAATGATAAAAATAAAACAGAATCATTAATCAAATCAACTCTTACGTCTTTATGACGTTGCCAATACATATATGTAGTTTTTTGCAGCGTAAGTGGAACCTTAATCTAGAGAAATATGTACACTGTTTAAACTCGTATCCCCTTCATCGGTTTCACCATGTAGTCATTTTTTGCCAGATCCAGGATAATCCATTAAATGTTTCTTATGATTATTGTCCTAACTTTGGATAGATATATTCTGCATTAAAATTGACTATAACCGGTAATTACACAATATCAGACGACCAACGTAACACCATAACATAGGATCAACGACACAAAGTTAGCTGTATCTAAGCCCGTAGGATAACAATTTCTTCAACCGGTACCTGAACGAGATCAGACGACGAACGTAAAACCATAACATAGGATCAACGACACCAAGTTAGCTGTATCTAAGCCCGTAGAATAGCATGTTATAATGTAAACTTACCTCCAGTTTGTTCTAAATTAATGTATTTGCTTTTATCATCTTTTCGAAAAGCGCCACCTAATGAACAAAACAAAAACAGAAGGTTGGCAACAAATAAAGATAATGATAAAAATAAAACTTAATCATTAATTACCCCAACTATTACGTCTTTATGACGTTGCCAATACATATCTGTAGTTTTTGCAGTGTAAGTGGAAACTTACTCCAGAGAAATATGTTGCACGGTTTAAACCAGTATCCCCTACATCGGCATTAACTAATAGTCATTCTTTGCCAGATCCAGGATAAACCATTAAATGTGTCCTCGGATTATTGTCCTAACTTTGGATAGATATATTTTGCATTAAAATTGACTTTAACCGGTAACTACACAAGATCAGACGACCAACGTAACACCATAACATAGGATCAACGACACAAAGTTAGCTGTATCTAAGCCCGTAGAATAGCGTTTTATAATGTAAACTTACCTCCAGTTTGTTCTAAATTAATGTATTTGTTTTTATCATCTTTTCGAGAAGCGCCACCTAATGAACAAAACAAAAACAGAAGGTTGGCAATAAACAATATAATGATAAAAATAAAACAGAATCATTAATAAAATCAACTCTTACGTCTTTATGACGTTGCCAATACATATATGTAGTTTTTTTGCAGCGTAAGTGGAACCTTAATCTAGAGAAATATGTACACTGTTTAAACTTGTATCCCCTTCATCGGTTTCACCATGTAGTCATTCTTTGCCAGATTCAAGATAATCCATTAAATGTTTCTTATGATTATTGTCCTAACTTTGGATAGATATATTCTGCATTAACATTGACTATAACCGGTAATTACACAATATCAGACGACCAACGTAACACCATAACATAGGATCAACGACACAAAGTTAGCTGTACCGAAGCCCATATGATAACAATTTCTTCAACCGGTACCTGAACGAGATCAGACGACGAACGTTAAACCATAACATAGGATCAACGACACAAATTTAGCTGTACCGAAGCCCATAGGATAACAATTTCTTGAACCGGTACCTGAACGAGATCAGACGACGAACGTAAAACCATAACATAGCATCAACGACACCAAGTTAGCTGTATCTAAGCCCATAGGATAGCATGCTTTTATATAAACGTACCTCTAGTTTGTTCCAAATCAATGTATTTGTCTGTTTCATCATTTTGAGAAGCGTCACCTTATGAACAAACAAAAACGTAAGGTTGGCAACAAACACATATAATAATAAAAAAATAAACAGAATCGTTAATCAAACCAACAAGTATGCCTTTATAACCCCCATAATACATATTTGTAGTTTTTTGCAGTGTAAGGGGAATATTAATCTATACAAATATGGTGCACGGTTTAAACCTGTATCCCCTTCATCGGCATTAACTAAAAGTAATTGTTTGCCAAATCCAGGATAATCCATAAAATGTTTCTTCAGAATAGTATCCAGACCTGAAAAAAACATATGTATGACTGTTGCGGATTAATAATATCTACAACGTTGACTGAACGAAATCACAAACGAACTTAAAACCCTACATATGACCAATGCCACAAAATTAGCTGTATCTAAGTCCGTAGCATAGTATAATAATATAAACTGACCTCCGGGTGGTTCCATATTTATAATATGAAACGGCAAAGCCTTAAAAAAGAGTAGCTTTTGTTGATCTTTGATATTTACTGATTCAGCATACAACTTTCAGAATGAGATAAGATAAACATTATTTAAAGTCGGCAAGTCGAGGAATAATAATAAAACACAACCTCTGATGAGATTAAGATCGACATAACAATAGGGGAGACCGGGTCAAGTTCGGCCCTTTTTTTGTTAAAGTCCGTTCTAGGAAGTATGGCAGCATGTCCGTTTTTAAACGTTATTCATTTTTTCCTGTGGAAAGATCGGATCGCCGAACGAGTTCCGCCAAGGGGTAAGTTCGGACAGGCATTCAGTTGAATCAGCACCCATTTGAATCAGCTTACTTATGACGTCATAAAGCATGCAACGTCAGATTTTACCCTCAAATTTTACGACTTTTTATGTGTTAACTACATGGGCCGAACTTGCCATGGTAGTATTGGCCGAACCTGTTTAGGCCCAAATTGATATTTCAATAAAATCGTATCGTACAGCAATATGGTAGTGAGTGATTGACTTTGTTTTTTTTGTATCATCGTTTGAAGCTGTCAGTGTGTTACACGTTTGACTGTAAACAAGTGGCAATTCCGTTTCAAAAAGCTCGCATAACAAGAAGCGAGATCATATTTTCTTTCTACCCCTTCAAAAGTATTTTCTCCTGTTAGGTAATTTTGCATAAGAGGTTTTTCGTTGAATGCCCAGCCAACTAAACATCCTTAAAGATGTAAATATTAGCTCAAAAACAAAAATATCAAGGGTGGCCGAACTTGCTCCGGTCTCCCTTATGTAGATTTTTTTTATCATTGATGATTGGTAAAAAATGTATTTATAAATTTGCCATCAATGACGTTATTTTCTTTCAGTCAAAGCTAATTTAGATATGTGTTCTTGTGCGTAAAATATATGATGGGTCGGGTGGCGCAGAGGATAGTGTGCTCGTCTTCACCAAGATGGCCGGATTAAATCCCGGTGATCTGCCCGACCACGTGTTTTTTTTCGGATACTCCAGATTCCTCCCATATTAAGAATTGAATTGTCTGCATGCTTCCGTCAGGGCACAAAATGAATGATTGAGATAAGCTGGGCACAACTGTTTGGTAATTGCTATAGAAAAAAGTGCATATTATATATTTGACGATTAGTCTAAGTAAATGTATAGAGATGTAAGTTCAAAAAAATCCAAAAACATCTTGTAATACTTTCATGTAACTGATATTGTTTTTATTTCGATATGTAGTCTCAATTACTGTTCTTAAGATTATAGCCAGACTTTCAAAATGTTAAATATTTCGTTCATATTCTCAACAAATGGAAATCAAAAGCTGATGAAATTTTAGACGATGAAAAAATAAATGTACACGTTAAACTATTGGTTTAATGCCGGCTCTTTTTGAAGATATCTCCCGGTAGAAATATTAATATAATAACCGGGTATATGACAAAAAAGATCTTCAGAAATTAGCTGCATTGTACTTTTGGTGCCTGTGGCAAAAACTGAAATAAAAAAAAGTCTTGAAGCACCAACAAAGAGATAAATGGAACGGACATCAGTTCCAGGATATTCCGGTCATTTTGCATCCATCCGGATATAACCGATGAAGGCCGATGTATTGTGACGTGCTTGTGACGTCATAGTATGATAATTTCTGAACGAAGTTGCATGCCGGTTAGTATTACATTTTATGTGATAGACTTTTTTCACTCAGAATGTATATGAGTTTTTATCTAAATAAACAAGTAATAAAACATGAAGATTTTTTTCACTACATGAAGATGTTCAGGTATGGGTGGAAACACAATTATCTTTACTTCAAAGATACCCTTCCTATTTCCCCACTGGACGTCTACTTCCGGACGAAAACAGTTAAAGGCAATGTGTAGCATGGAGAAGCAAATCTGTTTACGCACGAATGTGTTACCATTGAAGAGCTTCGCTTAGGCGCCTTCGGCGCCCGAGAATTACGCTCATAAAATCATTGTTATAATCTGTTCGAATGACATCGTTTTGAGTAGCGCCACATTATTAACAAACTAAATGCATATCAAACTATGATAATGATAAAACTAAAATAGAATCTTTAACAAATGTCCTATGAATAGATAATTTATGTAATAGTAGCTTATTTTATCTCGGACAAGCCCATTCGTTCCGTCATTGGCCAGGATCATTTATTTGCTCAGTCTTTGACAATTCTTAAATTAAAGGCAACATTACGTCGGAATAACATAGTTACGTTATGTAAATAAAAAAACAATATTCCAGTTCGTCGCTAATGAGGTTAAACAATCAATATATGTAAAAATTATTCATACTCGTCGAATCATGACATGGACCATTGATCCCATAAAATTGTTTGGAAATGTCAACTCATGTGTAGACTTTCTGTATAGTTATAATCCCGACAAGAAGCCAATAATCATATGTGACAAAACAATGAATATTTAACAAGATTTTAAACTCTGCAGTATGACGCAAAATCATTTTGAATTAATAATATCTACAACCGGTAACTGAACGAGAACAGACGGCGAACTTAAAACCATAACATAAGATCAACGACACTAGCCTATCTGTATCCGAGTCCGTAGCATAGCATGCTATAAAATAAACGTACCTTCGGGTGGTTTCATCTCCATATATGCATTGTTATCATCTGTGAAAATGAAATCGTTCCGAGTAGCGCCATTAACAAAACAAATACATATGGAAGATAACGAACTATGATATTGAAATATAAAAAGATGGTGTATAGATGTCCTATGAAAAGATAATCTATATCAAAGTAGTTTATTTCATATCGGACAAGCCCATCTGTTCATACATTTGCTAGGATCAAATGTTTGCTCAGTCTTTGACAACTGTTAAATTAAGGGCATCATAACGTCAGAATAACATAGCTACGTAATGTTAACACAAAATAGTATTCCAGTTCGTCGCTAGAAGTTAGGAAACCAATATATTTAAAAAGGGGAAAATTTTAATCTAGAGAAAATAGCTAATGCACAAAACAGATACATTAAGTAGTCACCAATAGAGAATTGAAATGAAAGTATCCACGAATCAGATTAGAATATTTGGTATGAAAACGAAGAAAAATAAATTATTAGATAATGATAAAAATAAAACATAATCATTGGTCAAACAAACTATTATGTTTTTATAATGTTGCCAATACATATCTTGAGTTTTCTGCAGTGTAAGGGGAATCTTAATCTAGACAAGTATGGTGCACTATTGAAACCTCTTCCCCTTCATCCGCATTAACTAATAGTTATTCTTTGCAGGACCCAGAAAAAATCATTAAACATGTCTTCGGATTATTGTCCAAACTCTGAATAAATATATTCTGGATAAATAATATCTACAACCGATAATTGAACGAGATTAGACGACGAACGTAAACCCATAACATAGGATCAACGACAGTAGGTTAGCGGTATATAAGCCCGTAGGATAATATGCTATAATATACACTCACCTCCAGTTAGTTCCAAATAAGTATGCTTGCTGTTATCATCATTGTGAATAGCACCACCTAATGAACAACACAAATACACAAGGTAGGCAACAAACAAAGATTGTGATAAAAATGAAACAGAATCATTAAAAAATGTCCCATTAGTAGATAATCAAAAGCAAAGTAGTTTGTGTAATCTAGGACAATATCATTAGATCCATCAATTGTAGGGATCGAATGAAAAATATAATGAAACAAACAAATGTATAAGCAACAGTAGTATTTTGAACGGGTAAACATGCGTCGTTGTCAGACCACGATTTGAACCATGAAACGTTCGAATCTTAACGACAATTTTCCTACCATATCTCGATTACCTCGTAAGCGTTGCTTAGATGTCGGGTTTTTATATTTTGACATATCAATATCGCCTATAAGTTATATGTTATTGCCGTATTACATTATTACATATGCTTTTAAAGTGTTATTATCTAGGTAAGCTAGAATAAGATGTGTTTCTTCCAACTAGGTTAATAAGTGACCAAGGCGTAGTACAATTGCAAGTATCATACTACCTTTCCATCCATCAACAATGTTTACTTTTAAACTGCTTTTGGTGTTGGGGATTAGTTGTTGATATTTGGTCAGTTTGATCCCTTTTGGTCCTTGAATCAGGCCTGCAATTATAGCCGGGATCCATATCTTATTCACAAATAGGGTGCGTGTTTTAAACCGTCTCGCTTTATTTGATTGAAATCGGTAGCACATTTTCGGGAAAAGCTCGTAAATGTGAAATGCTTATGGATGGCCGACCCGTGATGAAAGACAAGGAAAATGTGTTGACGTAAAAAGCAAAAACAAAAATGCATATATATATAACTTACCAAAAATTACTCTTTTTTTTCAACTCCTTAACACAACCAGACATTATACCAAACCGAAGGAATAACTTCGTATTATTATCACAATATTCCAGCAGACTGTAGCTTTTCCTACGGAAATAATATATGGCTGTCTCCTTACTGACAATTTTGTTGTTGTCACATGATGCTGATTTTTTTTTTGATGACTTTATCGGGACTTCAATCGCGTTCCTCGATCTTCATTTCAACATGACCAAAATGGACCGCTCACTGCTAACATGTAACATCAGCGAAGCGATTTTGATCTTCGTATCATATCGTTTTATTTCAAGTAGCAACACCTATGCCTCGTCAGCCTAATTAAAACATTGGGTTTTAAAAGATGCATTTTGCTTTTGACAAGTATAATGGATAATCCCAATATTGATTTTGTTGGGATTTGTTTTTCTTTCTGTATTTCCATATTCTCGAAACGAACAAATCGCAGTAGTAAAAATTAGAAAACAGACAAAAAACGTTACCTTCGTCTCCATTGTTACGTCGTCCATGGATGGTAGCTCTGCTTTGGAGTTCGAGGCTGGTGGTGTTGCCTTGGGTGTTTTGGCTGAGTTTGGCATCAGTTTTACCTTGACCATTATAACAAGACATTAACAGCACTCACTGTCACACAATTACGGAGTAGCAACTTATATTGCATGTATGCATATTTCATACTGTGGTCTATTAAGCAAGGATATTTTAGCAAATGGTGTGTCCTACGCATCGGTATTGTTAATGGACTTTATAAAGTACCTATACTAGCAAGAACCACACGTGATATAGGACTAAGACAAAAACGAATTAAAAAAAATACGGAACACCAATTTTGCATTTAAATAGATAGTCATTTTAATCACTTTCTTGTTCTAACGTCATTTTGTCAAGAGGTTTGATCAGCAAAGTTAGTGCTGTCACAACCAGGTCAGTTACGTCACAATGGTGATCTCCTGATTAAATAATGTTGGTGTGTCAAAATACGTATGGCAGTATTTATGCTTTGCAATGGGAGGTTGGAGAATAATTATCAATGTTAAATATCTATTTCACGCATATCCCTTTTCACATGCATTGAAACACAAACATGCTATATTTTAAGCAGCCAGGGCTCAAGATATAGAATAGCTATTAAGTTATTTTAGGACCAAATGATCAGTAAACGTTGCTTGTCACCGAGTGTCGCATCGTACATTCATTTCCCCAGGAACCATAGTTCATTATTTGAAAATACTTTACAGATCAAGCAGACGATTAAACTATTTCTATCAAAAATAGCATGAATAATTTCAATATAATTCTGATTTGTAAAGAATAAAACATCCAAATCATATATTTACAAAAATGTTATATCGTCTTCGAAAATGTAGCAATTAAATATGACCAGGATACAATATAACTTGATCAATACACATTTTACCTAATCTAGGAAAGACTTGAGGAAATGTGTACAAAAGTTGTAGGCGATCGAAATACTGTACGCACAAATCAGTATCACAATCCCGATTGTCAATATTAACCTTTTGGTGTATAGTTATTCTCTACCAGATAAGGGGAAATCTGTAATAAACTTCTTCTGTTGTTCTATAAACGTCTAATTAGTCAAGTCTGGTCTACCTCCGTTATAATGGTTTCGTGTGGCTACTGATATTGTATAAACATTGACTAATTGTTCTGGTAGAGTTCGTTTCCAACATGCCTAGTTGTACGTGGAACCAAGTACTAGCTCACATGAAGCTACACTCTGGCTTATGTTAGCTATATACTTGTTCATGTACTAACGTAGCAATATGTACCGGTTCACTTGCAACTTTGAACTGACATACTTGAGACTTTAATTATGGTCCAACTTTAAAAAAAAAATATGCATGACCATTGTGGGTTGATAATATCTACAACCGATAACTGAACGAGATCAGAAACAAACTTTAAACCGTAACATAGGATCAATGCCACAAACATAGATGTATCTAAGTCCGTTGAATAGCATGCTAACGTACCTCTGGGTGGATTAATCTCTATATACTCGTTGTCATCTGTAAAAATGTTTAAAAAATAAAATTAGAAAATAAATAAATATATAACATTTCATATAACGCCCTATATAGCTGACATAAGCCACTCTAAAGCGCTTTACAGTACATAGATATACAATTAATACAATTAGCATTTACATTAAGCATTTTATTTTTGAGGAATTTGCAGGTACTGCCTTATCAGGCGCTAACAACTAGTCCTATGCCTCCTGACTAATATCTCCCTTTGTGTGTATGCATGCGTGTGTGCTGGAAATGTAAGGCGTTCTGTTTGTAGTGAGACCGTGCTTCCAATGGCAGCATTTGGCATCTAATGACATTGCCTGTTGTCTAATCCTTTTGTTAACCCAATAAAATTTGTTGAAAACAAAAAATGGCATCATTTATAGTGCCACCTCACTTTCTCTGAATATCCATGCGTTCGACGACTTCGGAGATCGAACCCCGGCTGCCTGTCTTCATTTCAAATCAATTTTATTGTATTCAAAACACAATTGGATTAGGCACAGGCATTGCCTATAAAAGCCCTTTCCAGAGAAAATACACACATTTCATACATTCATATATACATATATATAGAGAGAGAGAATAGTATAAAGAAGATGTAGTATAAGTTAAAATTAAAAGGAGAATACTAGAACCATATAATACGTATTCACAGAAAATAATGACTAGAATATCATAGATTTTAACATTTCAATTACTATAGTCTAATTACTTCAATTAGTATTATAGCCTAGTGTTTGGTTGGAGGCACTTCAAAGACACAGTCACTATACACAGTGGCATCCTTCCCAATTACACCAAAGTTTTTGTTATAAAATAGAAAATACAAACACATTGTAAGATAACTTTTAGAATAGTTTAAGTTAAAATCTTCCAGATTTTCAATACATCAAGAGAGAATAATTTTATTTGATTCACTGCTAAGGTTCATATCACCCTTAGTGAAAGTAATAGTATTTAAGATGATGTTATCAATTTCGTTATAATTATAATAAAACTTGTGATCATCTATATATTTTGGGCAATTGAGAAAGAAGTGATTTGCATCTTCAATGATATAACAACAGTCACACTTAGGGTTATCTGTAAGATGATCATTATATAAATCTGATTTTAATTGGCTGGCTTTATTCCGTAGTTGACATAATGTTATATTCAACTTCCTGGAGCCACCGTATTTAAAAAATATCTGTACAGTTAGATGGTTGCAAAACGTGTAATAAGTCCAGTTTTAACTGGCTCAATGAAGTGAGTTTTGGAAAAATACAGTCTGGCCTGTTCCATAGAGACATCATTATAGGAAAAAAGCTATTTGTATACAAGTTGGTTCTGCACAAGGGAACAATACAGTTTTTATGATGTCTAAGGCGAGGATTAATATCATTATTAAAATATGGAACAAACAATTATGATGGTCAGGACAGTCACGCTGCAGTTTCTTGAAAAATGACTTGTACCTCTTCTCAGACCTGATATAATTCTGATACATTAAGTCACTTTCACCCTGGGTGCAATTATTCCACCCAGCACAATCATATTCTAGTGTTGGTCGTATAAAAGATTAATAAATTATTTCAAGAAATTTTCTATCTAACTCGTGTTTGAGCATTCGCATTATTTGTAGTTTTGTACAGCTTTTTTGATTTATATAATTAACTTGATCTGACCATGATCCACGACTATTGAAAAACAAGCCAAGATGTTTATGTTTTTTTTACATTTATAACAACACTATTTCAGAATACCAAAATTATTTTTATTAGACATCAGTAATGATTAGGTTTTACGTTGATTAAATGATATTCCCCATTTATCAGCCCAGAGAGACATTCTCCTTAAATCCTCATTAAGAATATCTGCAGCATGTCTGCCATCACCATCTATCAAAACGTAAAGTTCAGCAAAGAGTTTGACATGGGAGCGGAGTTCATATTCTAGGTCATTAATAAATATTAAAAATAAATAAGGCCCGAGAACCGAGCCTTGGGGCACACCAGCTTTTAATGTTTGTAAATTTGACTTGTAACCATCTATTAATACCCTTTGTTGTCTATCAGTAAGGCAGCAATGAATCCAGTTCAAATCGTCGTCACAAATTCCATATTTCTTCAATTTGTAAATCAATCCACTGTGCCAAACCCCGTCAAAAGATTTGCTGATGTCCCAAAATACTATCCTTGCCTCTTTTCATTGATCAAGTTGTTTTGAAGCTTCATCATATAAATATATTAATTGGTTAACTGTGGAGTCATTGGGAAGGAAGCCAGACTCATTGTTTGAGATAACATTATTCTCAGAAAGAAAATTAAAGAGATGTTTACAAACTATTTTTTCAAGATGTTTACTAAATAATGATGAGACAGAGATTGGTCGATAGTTACTGGGGTCACCTCTTCCTCCCTTGCCCTTATCTATTGGGGTAACATTAGGACACTTCCAAATATTAGGTATGCAACCAGTGGCTATGGATTTGTTTAAAAATAACAGCAAGTGCTTCACAAAAGAGTCAGCAATACCTTTAATAAAATAAGGTGAAAATCGTCTAGACCAGCAGTTTTTTTTTACATTAATAAAATTAATAAGGCTGCCTCTGTAAAAGGCCGGAGTGTTAACCACTCGACTAATCCGCCCATATATCGTTTTAAGTAGCGCAATATGATAACAATGATAACAATACTAGTGAAACAGAATCGTTAACAGATGTCCTATGAATAGATAATCCACAACACAGTAGTTTTATCTCGGACAAGGCCATTTGTTCCGTTAATGACCAGTATCAAGTGTTTGCTCAGTCGTTGATAATTCTTAAATTAAAGGCAACATAACGGCAGAATAACATAGTTACGTGATGCACATACAAAATAGCATTCCACTTCGTCGCTAATGAGGTTGATAAATGAATATATTTAATAACTTAACAATACTATCATGTCAAGGAGCCTTGATCTCATAATTTGTTTGTTTAGGTTTGGTCAGCTCTTGTCTACACCCCTAAAGAGTCGTGCTGAACAGTTATATTCCTGCCAAGAAGCCAATAATATTCTGTGACAAAACAATGAATATGTAACACGAATTTGAACTCCGCAGTATGGCGAAAATGTCTTCAGATAATGTGTATAAAGCTTGGTGACAGTCTGTTCTGTTGCTGGAATTTCAACATTAAATAATGCTGCTTTGATCTGCACATAAATAATATGGATATTTGAAAGTATATGATTTATTCATAAACAAACTATGATGCTCTCGAATTGACATTATTTTAATTATATCATCCTCTTAAGGATCAAAGTACCATTGCAGACAAAGCAATAGAGAACTCCACAGTTTTTTGTTTAGAAATACATTAAACTCTCCTAAGTTTTGTCTTTGATAAAGCTGTAGTGGGACTAGGTCCCGTGATAACATTACTCCGATAATCCAGGGTTCGAATCCTGGCTGGCTTCCCTTCATCTCTACTTACAGAAACCTGTTTCTCATTCGTGTCCGTTTTTGTTCTTTTTTTAAATCTAAAATTTGTTTTTTAAGATATACAACTATAGATCTATTTCAGATATCAGTATTCAAGTTTTTGATATGTCAATATAAAGCTTCCAATCATAATTGATCAAGATCAAACACATAGTGGGTCAATGAGGAATTATCAATTGATGGCACCGATGTAACGTCAAATTTCAATGACGTTATGGACAACAAAATCATATTCTTGTTTGATGGCAAATTTGACACGAGTTTGAGGAAATCAATATATTCTAATCACTTAATAATATTAACATGTCTGTTAACGATTCCTTTATACAGTTGAACAAGGTTTGCTAGATAACCGGATCAAACTAATTTCTGGAATTATCAATTGTTGGCACCAATGTAACGTCATATTGCAATGACGTTATGAACTACAAAATCATAATCCGTTTTGATGGCAAATTATACACTAGTTTGAGGAAATCAATAAATTCTAATCACTTAATAATATTATTATATCTGCTAACGATTCCTTTATACAGTTGAACAAGGCTTGCTAGATAACCAGATCAAACTTATTTCTTAAAATATATTACGCCAACCGGCAAAAACTGTCCATATGGCATTGCAGTGTTACCCCGATGTCATAGCATGCTGCAATGATATCTCAATGCACTCATTAACGTTGCGTAGATGTCGGGTTATTTTATGTTGACATATCAATACCGCCTATCAGTTATATGTTATTGCAATAATGCATTATAATATATACTTACAAAGTAGCTCCTACAATAAGGTGAATGGGTGACCCAGGCATAGTACAATTGACAGCTTAAATTAAGTATCTATCCATGAACAATGTTTATTTATAAAATGTGTTTTGTGTAGGATTTGTTTGTTTGTTGAAATTTGGCCGATTAAATTCCTTTTGGTTCTGAAATCAGCCTTACCATCGTCGCCGATAACTATATCTAACCATATTTTAGGTGCGTGTTTGGAAACTTCTCCCTAATTGTTTTGAAATCGATTGAGCACTTTCGAGAATAACTCTAAAATGTCAAATGCTTACTGATGGTCGTCGCGTGATGATCGACGACGAAGAAAAGGCGTTGACGTAAAAAGCAAAAAGAAAAAGCATATATAAAACTAAACAAAATTACTCACCCTGACTTTGGAGCTCGTGATTGGATTGGATGCCATCGTCAACGTTGACATAAGCATGCTCCTGCTCTGTAATATAAATACAAAAATGGATATAATACAATACTATCAGAACTCGGTATCACCAAATATCTTCGAGAAATACTCTGAACAAACAATGACAATCTTTTGTTCTTTCATTATGTTTTTGATCTTTTACACCAGACAATGGGCAAAATGTTATCATACCAGATTGTATTTCACATACAAGGCACTGAATGGAACAGCCCCTCAGTACCTACAGGAGCTTGCTACCCTGTATCAGCCGTCAAGATCACTGCGGTCGGAGTCAGAATCTTTGTTGTGTGTCCGAAAATCTCGTACTGTGACCTACGGAAACAGATGCTTTGGGAGGGTTTCGGCTACGTTGTGGAATAGCTTACCATCTGCTATTAGGAAGTCAAATACCCTGGCCAAGTTCAAGAGGGATATGAAAACACACCTCTTCACGTCTGCATTTTAGAATCTTTGCAAAGTCGTCATGTAAATACCACCCTTTTATTTGTTCAATTATGTGCACATTGCTTGTTAAATGTATGAAAGTGATTGCAAGCCTTTGTTGTTAGTTTTCACAATTATAACCATTACTATTATCCATATGTTGTAAAGCGCCTTAGAGTAATTTTACTAATTATATAGGGCGCTATATAAATGTTGTATATTATTATTATTATTATTATTTACTTTTGAAATGGGTCAACTCTAGCAGGTCAAATAATTAAAAAATAAAAAAAAATGCCTGAAATAAAAAATGAAAACAAATCTTGTGTCTGTAGACAAAGCAGAGAATAACACTATCTTTGTCTGCAGACAAAGCAGTGAATTACACTATCTTTGTCTGCACACATTATTTCATTTCCTGTTTGCCAAACGAACTAGATTTCTTGATCGCGAAGGAAATCCTTCCTTGACATTTTCTTAATTTCCGAAAGACGACGAAATACCAGTTCATTACTCTTCCATATTAAGATATAAAAGACCAGTATGTTATGTAATGGATACTGAAACTTCCCAAGAATCTCTACAAAAGTTTGATCCCTATCTGTTCTAGCTGCTCAACCAAGCCATCATCCAAGCGTCTTAATTACGTTCTGAGTACAATTTAATCTGGTTTGCAGTCGTATTGTGACACTATGTACTTCGGAGGTAAATTAAATAGAATATAGAAAAATCGAAAGACTATTTGAAAAGGCATGCACAGCCTCTCCTCAAAAATGATTCATTTAGAAATGCTGTAGACTGTTCAACCCTTACACTACCAGACACCATACCAAACTGAAGGAGAGGGATTTTTTCCAGCGAAAAATGCTAACGACGATATACATTTATGGTCATATATTCTTTTGAAGAATATTTTGTAACTAGCACAACAAAGGTTAAAAAATAATAAACTTAGTCTTTTACTGTGAATGAGTTTTTGATTAACGATATCTTTGGTGAAGTCAGTGACAAGATAGTCCAGCAGACTGTAGTCACTCCATCTATCCATATTCTCGAAACGAACAAAACATCGTAATAAAAATTAGAAAATAGACAAAAAACGTTACCGTCGTCGCCATTGATACGTCGTCCATGGGTGGTAGCTATGCTTTGGAGTTCGAGGCTGGTGGTGTTGCCTTGGGTGTTTTGGTTGAGGCTGGCATCAGTTTGATCTTGACCAATATAATAAAAAAAATAACAGCATTAATTGTCACAAAATTACGGAGCGGCAACTTATATTGTATGTATGCATCTTTCATACCGTGGTCTATTAAGCAAGGATGTTTTAGCAAACGGTGTGTCATACGCATCGGTATTGTTAACGGACTTTTTAAAGTCCATATATTAGCAAGAACCACACGTGATATAGGATTAACAAAAACATTACTTAAAATGCGTAACGTATATATACATTTAAATAGATAGTCATTCTAATCACTTTCTTGTTCTAACGTCATTTCGTCAAGAAGTTTGATCAGCAAAGTTAGTGTTGTAACAATCAGGTCACTTACGTCAAAATGGTGATCTCCTGATTAAATAATGTTGTGTTGTCAAAATACGTATTGCAGTCTTTATGCTTTGCAAAGGAAGGTTGCAGAATAATTAAAAATGTTAAATATCTATTCCACGCATATCCCTTTTTACATAAATTGAAAAACAAACATGCTATATTTTAAGAAACCCGGACTCAGGATATAGAATAGGTATTAAGTTGATTAAGGACCCTGCTCAATGGTCCAGTAATCGTTGTCTGGCACCGAGTGTCGCGACCTACTTTCATTTCCCTAGACACCATAGTTCATTAACTGAAAACACTTTACAGATCAAGCAACCGATTAAAATGTTACTATCAAAAACAGCATGGAATATTTGACAATTTATCTGATATGTAAAGAATAAAACATCCAAATATTATATTTATAAAAAAACTAATATGGTCTTCAAAAATGTAGCTTTCTATTAGATATTACAAAGAAACGAAATAACTTGATCAATACACGTTTTACCTAATCTAGGAAAGACTTGATTAACTGTAATGAACAATATCTCAATCCCGATTGTCAATATTAACCTTTTAGTGTATAGTAATCCTATACCAGATAAGGGGAAATATATAATAAACTTCTTCTGTATAATAAACAGTTCTGTTCTTCTATAAACGTCTGATTAGTCAAGTCTGGTCTACCTCCGTTATAATGAAACATTGACTAATTGTTCTGGTAAAGTTCGTTTCCAACATGCCTAATTGGGCGTGGAACCAAGTACTAGCTCACATGAAGCTATGCCCTTGCTTATGTGAGCTACGTACTTGTTCTAAAGTAGCAATATGTACCGGTTCACGTGCAACGTTGAGCTGACACACTTGAGACTATGTACAGGGTAACACAGAGTACTGTGATATTCTAATCATATCATATTCGACTGATTTTACCAGGCTTAATATGTGATATCCGTTTTTAATGGTAACTCAGTGGGAACCACGTCTAGCCAATCTGGTTTTTGCTCTTACGGAGTCTAATTTATATCTGAAGAGAGTAATTTAATTCAGCATTCAATTAAAAACATCTCGTTACTCGTTCAGAGGAAAATATTGTCAGACGAATGTCATAAACTAAACAATTTCCTTCGTTATACTTAAACCTCTATAGAATTCCTTTGAGGCTAATAAACTTCATCAAACAATAACTTTTGACCCTTTGAAAATAATCTGACCTAACTGACATGTATGACCTTTAAAGTTTGAAGTTCAAAGCCTATTCTTCAAAATCTTACAGGAGTTCATTTACGTGAACTGAAATGACCGTGTTGTTCTTGACTACATATGTAACACGTGATATGATTGTCTGTGTTACCTTGTTGACGTTGTCTCCGTTTCATGCCCAAGACGGCGATGACCACAACATAAACCAGGACAACTACACCGATTGACACTAAACAGATAATCAGGTTTAACTGTGTGTAAGGCTTCTGCGGAATCTCTGGAAATAAACAGACGTTGATAAAGACTTCAATGAGGATTCTTCTGATAACTCCAATAACTGATTACTTTGAGATGTTTTAAAACAACTACATCCGCAATGCTTAGATAATTATTAAACACGAAGGGAAGTTCAAATGATTCAACAGGGATAGAACAGAAAAGAAACGTTTTGAAAGAATGATACAGCTGGTGTTTAAAGCAAGTGAATATGATATTTATGATTCTATTAAAGGGACCACGGAAGCAAATCAAAAATAGATTGTGGGTTTTGCCCTTTTGGGCAGAAGATTTAATAGGAAGGTGAATGCCTCGGGGCCTGCTGGTTGGATATTTAGGTGGCAGAAGGTTCAAAAGTTGTATGGGTTGGTTGAGCAATATATATAGATGTAAAATATATAAAAAATAATTCAAAATGTTCAAAACTGCTTTTGTCTGGGGGAGTTTATTAAGTGTAAAATTTGTTGTAAATTTTGGTCAATTTTTGTTGCCGAATTCAATACAAAATGGCGGCCCCCATGTAAAAAAAGTTAAAATAGACAGAATTTTTAAATATTATATTCACAGTTGTGTGAGATGATATTCTTCAAAATGAGGGCAGGTAAACCAGTGTGGATAACCCCATTTAACCAGAACAGTGGTAAACGTTAACACTCTCGTCTATGGAAAATCATTTGGTTCCGCGGTCCCTAAATAAACAGTAAAAGTTCATGGATATTCAGAGAATAAAGGATTCACAAAAAATAACCGTTCCTTATTTCAATATCTTAGTTGAGAAAAGAAACAGTTTTAATTACACGTAAGTATTTTCCGTCTCCAAACAATGTATTTGCATCTTAACTTAACTTAAAAACATTACTTAATTCAAGATAAAAGTCGTAATATCACGATTACAAAGCCCTCACAAAGCCATAAAGGTACCATATAAGGAAAAATAGATATTTAAGATACTACAGAAGGACGAAACGTCCGTGACAGTCCCTATCGAACGTTATGTTGACTATAGCAGTCTAGGATCCTAGGACCATTGCCAAAAATGTATACTATACATTGGAAACAACTTTATACAGGCATGACAATAACCTAAATAGGCTGTCGGACACCTTAACCACTTAGCCACCGTGGCCCAAGGCGCATCAATGGACTTGCGCGGGGTTTATAAAACACGAAAATTTGATTTAGCAACATGTAGGTCAGAGCGCCATAAATAAAAACATACTGCTGTAGAAAATTGTAACTTTAAAATAAATAAAATTATAAGGATTCGACTCTCTAGCAATATATTTGTATATCGATGTATAGACCGCAAACCGAAAAAAACGCAAATACACCTATAAACAAATTGATTATCTTATCAACTCCTAAAATATATTGTAAGTAACAAAAGAGTAAATAATTATAACAAGGTACAGATATATTTACCTTCAAGGCTGATCTGGAAGAGGACAGTTAATACTTCCGGTAAAGTATTCGTGACATTAAGGTAGCACTTCTGGAAATCAGATTGCGTCGTGATCCTGACCAACCCCGTGACAGTATACATATTATCGTTGTTTTGTACCACACCAAGTGCTCTCACTTCGTCAGACCATTGAATCGTGGGCATTGGGTTGGCGATCACAGTTACATTGAGTACAACTATCTGACCCCTTTCCCCTGTTATACTAATAATGGTATTCGTAGTATTATATATCCGTGGGGCGCCTACAATAATAAAAAAAATACATAGACAATGGTACTTATAGATTCAAGCATGTTTAAGTATTATGGATATGGATATTCTTCCAATGAATACTGGTCAAAACCGAGACTATAAAATCCAAGTCTGCACCCTCGTGTAGAATTCCCATTTCCAACATAACTACAATGTACATATACATACTATACATACAGATGTACCATGTGAAAATGTACGGCATAACAGTGTTGCGCCAATTATGACTAAAAGTTAAAAGAAGACTTTCTTTTTTCTATTTTTCTTAACATATTGTTTCTGGTTAGGTAACTGAGAAAATAGAATAAAAGAATCGTTATTTTGCAAATTGTAGGCATTGCTGATAAGAGATACACAGTCTTTACTTACAACTGACTTGAAGTCCAAACTGCATTCTCGGGGCGTTGGCGGTACTTCTATTCCGAGTAACGAAGTTGTCCGCCCAGACGTCATACTTTCCCGTATGGTTGCACTGGAGGTTGTGTAATTTAATTTCATATATTCCAGTACTGACAGGTACGCCGACTACGAGCGTTGTCTGGTTACGTAACAGGGTGACGTCAGCCAGTGGGCTACTGTCAACATCAACACGGAGTTCCAAGCTGGAACCTTCTGTGTATCTGACTTCATTACTGCCAATGTGCATGTACTGGTTATCAACACCGTCCCGATACCTCAATTCCGTGATTTGGGGTGCGACTGCGGACAGAGAGAACTAACTGTATCTGAAATACAACTATACTAGCGGAAAAAAGAAACTGTGCATGCCTAAAATGTGTTATAAAAATAAATGTGTATGACGTAGAACAAGAAGGTTTTCAGGGACAATTCATTTGTTATTTATTAACAGTTGAATTTCATTTTCCACGTTACGGAATCAATAAGTTCCGCTCAGGAGTGACGTAAACACAGCAGGGGTCAATACTGAGTTCACAAAGTTAATACCACCGTTTGCCTGAATGCATGCCTGGCAACGTCGACGCATGGAGCCTATCAGACGGTTCAAGAATGCTTGTGGGATGGCATTCCAGATCTGTACTAACGCTGCAGGCAAATCAGCCAACGTCACCGGTTGATTAGGTAATGCCCGTAATATGCGCTTCATTTCATCCCGGATGTGTTCAATGGGCGACAGATCGGGGGTTAAAGAAGGCCAGGGCAACACGTCATCGTTCTGCTGGGCCAGAAAGTCCATAGCGACACGAGCTAGGTGTGGCCTTGCGTTGTCCTGCTTTGGCGTAATGTGACGTTGCTGCCCTTGCACGAATGGAACGACGTGGGTCCGGAGGATCTCGTCACGGTAACGTAGCGTGTTCAAATTCCCGCTAACAACCACCAGAGGCGTTCTCCCGTTGGCTGTGATGCCGCCCCAAATCATAACGCTGCCTCCGTCGAAAGAACGTCGTTGTACCACACACGCGTCACGGAAACGTTCTCCAACGCAACGATACACTCTGGAACGGCCGTCACTACTATCCAGGAGGACTCGCGACTCGTCCGTAAACAAAATGCCTGCCCAATCCCTTCGGGTAAATCGCAGATGCTTTCTGCACCAGTCCAGACGTAATACACGATGACGTGGCAGAAGAACTGGGCGGATTGCAGGACGTCGCGGACGGATAGCTCGTTTACGCAATCGGTTCCGTACAGTTCTCGGGCTTATTGGTAGCAACCCAGGGATTGTCCGTGCAGTCAAACTTGCCGTTTGGAAGCGATTTCTCAAATGGACAAACCGAATATGGTTGTCCTGTTGACGTGACGTCACACGTGGACGTCCCGCACGAGGGCGATCGCCGACGTGGCCAAACTGTTGATGTCGTCTCCATAAATCCCGGATTGTGTTTCGATGGACATGAAAACGTGCAAAGACAACGGCTTGGCCCATACCAGCTTGAAGCAGACCAATAATCCGGAGGCGGTCATTTTCATTGAGCCTCGGCATAGCATTAATCACAAATTTAAACGTTATAATGCTGTTTTTACTGTTCACTGGTCTTAACAGAGTGACCCAACAGTTGAAAAATAAACTTCCATTGTCGAATTCGATGGCTGGATGAGAAAAACGTGCAAACTGGCCAACGCAATCCTTTGGGGTCAGCCTCTCCCTGAGTCAAAATTCTGGTCCTTATTATCTTAAGATTATGTAAAGACATGATTTACATCCAATTACAATTTTCATGACAAATGTCATTTGAAGAGTTCGTACAAAGTGACAAAAGATATTGCATCTCCCGGCAACCTTCTTAAGTATAGATTCTGGTCCTTGCACTAGGCTGATAATTACTTCTAAAATTCATCAAAGTCCGAGAGACGTTTGTGGATGAGTCTAAAATGTATGTAATTGTTGACACATGACAGGCAACAATGGATGAAATGTCATTGTAAAAGGTCATCTGAGTAACAGGTCATCTGAACAAGAGCAGTTTGTCTGTAACTAGATAATGGTTAACAATCTTAAAGACGTTTACAATAACAATATAATCATGGTGGAACATAGCAAGTTTCAAGCCAACTAAACAGAACCTTAGATTATAAAAAGGTATAAAGCAGGACAAATTTTACACATAAAGTTCAGGGCTCAGTTAATGCGAAGGTGATTAGCCTGCTCAGGGAATAACTTGATTTGTGTATGACTTTAAAATGCAACGATTAACTGAGTTATAGATTTCCATTTAGCAAAGATTTTGGTAGAATGAAATATCATACAACAAATCCAGTTTCTACCTTCGACAAAATCAATACAGGTTGAAAATTGCTTTTTAACAGTGATTTAGCTTATCACCTTTGAATAACAGAGCCTAGATCACATATGTTTTGTACTTACAATAAACAATAACTGTTATGTTCTTTTCTAGTGTCGGTGCAGTAAAACCTGCAAATGGTGCCACTTCTACTTGACATGTATAAGTTACCTCCCTTACTCTCGGGAGTGAGGGGTCCACCAACTCTAGTTCATTACTGGAATCCCTACATGATGGAATGAATGGGATGCCTTGTCTCCGCCACTCCATTAAACAAGAAGGGTTGCAGTCGGTTCTACAGGACACAGTACCGTAGACATCTCCTCTGATCGCTGGAGATTTATCCTCATTGCTCTCTATCGTAACAAACTGTGGTCTATCTGCAAGAGAACAACTCCAAGATTTAACATATCCTCCTGTGACATAAATGTCGTCTGCTTGTGTTATAATGTTCAATAAACATGATTTTCAGGCTAAGCTTATATTTATTAAATAAAATATTTGACTTCATTTCAATATTTTGAGGCATTTCAATCTAACAACTGTTCCAAAGTTGGGTTTTTTCAACCCACCATTAGCGGCACGATGCAATGTAGTACATATGGCTATATAATCGGGACCTCAATTGTTTCAAGGTTGTCTCTTGTTAACCTGTCCCCCCAGGGGTGTGGCCTGACCCTAGAGTCACTTCCAGCTTGACGAGTATAACCAGTTATCTGTATTATGGTTACATACATGTTTGTTGTAAAAATATAGCTGATAAACATCTGATGGTTATATGTCCCACAACACATGGTTGTAAGTCCCTTATCAGATGGTTATAAGTCCTACAATACATGGTTGTATTTCCCTTATCTGATGGTTGTAGGTCAAACAACACATGGTTGCAAGTCCCGTTTCTGATGGTTGTAAGTCCTACAACACATGGTTGTATTTCCCTTATCTGATGGTGCTGACTTCTACAACACATGGTTGTGAGATCCTTATCTGACGGTTTTAAGTAATACACCACATGGTTGAAAGTTCCTTTTCTGATTGTTGTAAGTCCTACAACACATGGTTGTAAGACCCTTATCTGATGGTTGTAAGACCCTTATCTAACGGTTGTAAGTCCTACAGCACATTGTTGTATGTCCCTTATCTGATGACTGTAAGTCCTACAACACATGGTTGCAAGTCCCTTTTCTGATTGTTTTAAGTCCTACAATACATGGTTGTATTTCCCTTATCTGATGGTTGTAGGTCAAACAACACATGGTTGCAAGTCCCTTTTCTGATGGTTGTAAGTCCTACAACACATGGTTGTATATCCCTTATCTGATGGTGCTGACTCCTACAACACATGGTTGTGAGATCCTTATCTGACAGTTGTAAGTCATACAACACATGGTTGAAAGTCCCTTTTCTGATTGTTGTAAGTCCAACAACACATGGTTGTAAGGCCCTTATCTGATGGTTGTAAGTCCTACAACACATGGTTGTAAGACCCTTACCTGATGGTTGCAAGTCCTACAACTCATGGTTGTAAGGCCCTTATCTGACGGTTGTAAGTCCTACAACACATGGTTGTATTTCCCTTATCTGACGGTTCTAAGTCCTACAACTCATGGTTGTAAGACCCTTATCTGATGGTTGTAAGTCCTACAACTCATGGTTGTAAGTCCCTTACCTGATGGTTCTAAGTCCTACAACACATTGTTGTAAGACCCTTATCTGATGGTTGTAAGTCCCACAACTCATGGTTGTAATTCCCTTATCTGAATTTTGTAAGTATTACAACTCATGTTTGTTTGTCCCACATGTGGTTAGCTCTTCGTAAGATGTAAATATGCCCTTCATTTGATGGTTGTGGGTCCTACGGACAACTATTGCTGTAAGTCTAGCATCTAATGGTTGCAAGTCCCATATCTGACGACTGTAAGTCCTATATATTATGATTGTAAGTCATTTATGTGATAGTTGTGATCACTTATAATATGACCCTATTTCTAACGCACCTTGGAGTGGGATGGCGTTAGCCTCTTTTTGAGTTCAAATTAAGATATTTTACTCTCCTGTGAAAGATTAATAACTTGTCGGTAAAAATTCAACTGCACGTTTCAGAGGAGATATTATTTGAAAGATTTACAAATTTTGATCAATTTTGACCCCGTCTTTTAGGGATCAGCCTCTCCCTGAGTCAAAATTCTGGTCCTTATTATCTTAAGAATATGTAAAGACATGGTCTACATCCAAATACAATTTTCATGACATATGTCATTTGAAGATTTCGCACGAAGTGACAACTTATGATATGGCATCTCCCGGCAACCTTCTAAAGTATAGATTCTGGTCCCTACACTAGGCTGATAATTACTTCTGAAATTCATCAAGTCCGAGAGACGTTTGAGGATAAGTCTAAAATGTATATATGTTTACACATGACTGGCAACAACGGATGAAAAGTCATTCTAATAAGTCATCTGAGTAACAGGTGATCTGAACAAGAGCAATAAGTCTGTAACTAGATAATGATTAACAATATGATAGACGTATACAAGAACAATATAAGAATGTTGTTTCAAGCGAACGAGACAGAACTTAAGGAACTAGCTGTCCAGATAGATAGCTAATTTATGAAAGAATTGTCATTGCCATAAAAGTGATTAGATTATCAAAAGTTATAAACCAGGACAAACGTTAAACATAAAGTTCGGGGTTCAATTATTTGAAAGGTGATTTGCCTGCTCAGTAATTAGCACAATTTGTCTTTAACATTAAAATGCAACGATTAACTGAGTTATAAAGATTTCCATCCGATAAAGATTTTGGTAGAATAAAATATCATGCAAAGAATCCAGTTTTTTACATTGTATATCGATAAAATTATTACAGGTTGAAATTTGTTTTACAGTTATTTAGCTTTTCACCTTTGAATAACTGATACCAGATCACATATGTTGTGTACTTACAATAAACAATAACTGTTATGTTCTTTTCTAGTGTCGGTGTGGTAAAACCTGCAGATGGTGCCACTTGTACTTGACAAGCATAAGTTACCTCCCTTACTCTCGGGAGTGAGGCGTCCACCAACTCTAGTTCATTACTGGAATCCCTACGTGATGGAATGAATGGGATGCCTTGTCTCCGCCACTCCATTAAACAAGCAGGGTTGCAGTCGGTTCTACAGACCACAGGACCGTAGACATCTCCTCTGATCACTGAAGATTTACCCTCAGTGCTCTCTATCGTAATAAACTGTGGTCCATCTGCAAGTGAACCAGTCCAATATTTAACTTATGTTCCTTTGATATAAATTGCATCTGTTTGTGTTACAATGTTCAATGAACATGATTTTCAAGCTAAGCTTAGATTTATTAAATGAAAAAGTTTTTCTTCATTTCAGTATTTTGAGGCATTCCAATCTAACAACTGTTCTGAAATTGTTTTTTTCAACCCCCTTTAACGGCGCGATGCATTGCAGTTTATATGGCTATATAATCGGGACCTCAACTGTGTCAAGGTTGCCTCTTGTTAACCTGTCCCCAGGGGTGTTGCCTGACCCTAGAGTCACTTCCAGATACCTAATTGTTTTTTGTCTTTTTATTGTGTAAATGGTTACGATGTTGGGATATGATATTAACCACTTATGACCCAGCTATAACCCTGGAAGTAAGTCTGCAAGGGTGGGGCAAGACCCTTTGATCATCCCGGTAGCATGTGTGCATTCGTCTAAATTGTAAAAGGATGAGGACATCCACTGTTTCAAAGTTTTGACCCTATAACTATGTGGCTATTTGGTCAGAAGTTTTGTATTACCCCTCACCCCCTGATTGGACAGTCCCTTCCTTTTGTACAATTTTGAATTTCCACCATCTGATAACGCTTTCAATTAAATACGGCTGGTATCGATTACTAAGCTCATGTTTGGTTTGCCCATAATCCCCCTTGGGGTTAGGGTATGGGGGATATCAGTCCCGACAATTGTACAACTTTGAATGCCAACTACCTGATGAATGATTTCATTTAAATTTGATAAAATTTAAATTATCTTCAATAAACGAAGAAGTCGTTTGAAGAAATTATTGACGCACAGATGCCATTCATTTTGTTTTTAACGTAAATATGAGGATACACACTACATATTTTAAATCATTCAAAATATTTTCGAATGTGCGTCTCTGCGTATCATAGATTATGGCACATCAACTATTTATTTTAAAAAAGTATGTATTTTCTTAGGTATTATACTTATGATATGTTTTATCTTGGTTTAAACTACAAACCACATACAAAAGTACATGGCTATGCGTGAGTTTCATGTCATGGTGTCTCCATCAAACACTCTAAATAGTTATCAAAGCATATCATTTTCTTGTTATACTATTTAACTGGTCCTATTATGGTGTACTTACAGCGTGGTGTTAGCGTGAATGCTCCACTTTCCTCTGAGGTCAATCCACTTACTCCCTGTCCTGTCTCGTGAGCCACACATGCGTAGACATTATATTTGTCTCTGAATCGTACGGCATTGATAGTGAGACTTGAATCATTGACTGAGAATCTGGCATGGTTTAATGCACTACCATTCAATTTCCAGGAGGCTGTTAAAACCAGTCCATGATTGTCCGGTTGACTTCGAGAAGCTGAAGAGCATACCAATCTCACTGATGTGTTGAGAACAGGCGAAGAATTTGAAAGGGTAATGTTTGGCCGAGTGGGTGTGTCTGACAACAAATTGATCATGATTACATTTTGTTTATGCTTGTAGACAGTGATATCATTATATACAATCGACAGTAATTGACTATACACTAAATTATCTTAAATGGCAGTTGTACATATGTATTAGTAGTATGAAAGTGTGAATAAAAAGCGCTGCTTGTAGACAGTGATATCATTATATAAAATCGATAGTAATTGACTATACACTAAATTATCTTACATGGCAGTTGTACATATGTATTAGTAGTATGAAAGTGTGAATAAAAAACGCAAAATGAATACTGTTTACCAGGACATTTTAATCCACTTAAAATTTCCACCTTTTCACCCGCCGTAACGAGGACGAATTTGTCATTATAGCAAATCTTTGTGAACATATATACATAGCAATTAAATGCAAAGAAGGAAATTGAAAACTGCGTGAATATGAACATTACCGGCGTTGGGCGAAAGTTTGATTCTGCGAAAATTTCCCGGTACATAGTACTAATTCATACTATGTGATGATATTATGTCTGAAAATATTCTCTTTTCTGACTGACTTTTCTTTATCAAAATATTTTAGTAAATTCTAATTCGTTAATCTTTGTTTGAATATAACAATATTAGGTCTTAGGTATTTTGTTTGAGGGCGGTATGGGAGCGTTCCCTTTATTAACGCCATGGTGGAATAAATCCTTACCAATATTTTCTGGCTCCGCTCTGAAATGTCCTTAAGTCTAAGTTTGTAGTTATTACAACTCAAAGTACCAAGTAGCTGACATGCTCCAGGATTTACCAATAGCTGTCCTTTAAGTATCAAAAAGTATTACTTATCTGTAACCAACAACGAATTTTCTCCACATATAAAGTAAGTTTGACTCACCAGTTACTACTAACATTTGCCCTCCAAGGATTATATTTCCACTCTGTTGCATGGTGTAGTAGTACCCAGCATGCTCTGTTTTCAGGCGATCAAAGGTCAGTTCTGTTTTTGTTGACGTCACTCTGACTGTTACACCATACTCAGTTCTATTGTTACCACCAATGTTATCATTGTCGAAGAAAGCGAAAAGTGTCCGACCGTTAAATATAATGGATGATAGACCACCAGGGGGCTTTGGAAGCATCAGTTGTGTCCCTGTACTTCTTTGTCTATATATGGCAGTTGCTGTAATACAAGAAACAAGATAACAGTGTGGCCCTTAGATATTATAAAAACACTTCAAATTTGTTTTCATTTGAACTACACAATAGTACATGTATGTGAAACTTTAAATAACCTAATATTTTATACGGTCATTACTTTGTACTTTCATATCACACATTTCCTTATCCCTCGTTTCTTAATACCGGGCCAACAAGTGTGATTGATATAAGTTGTTTAATAACGGGCATTATCGGCCAATCGCGACAAATATACGGAAAGTACAGGAAAATGAGAGTGAATTGGTTCTATGCTATATGAAAGCTTCAAAAACGTTCGCCCCTCCGGTCGTACGGGCTCGCAAAAACGGCAACATGCATTGATGTTCTTTTTTCGCATAAACAATATGTTCAGAAAAAATTCTACATTTTTTTACAAGTCGATAATACTGATAAAAAAATCCTTCGATGTCCTACATATAATTTTGATGTTTTAATTTTTCTCGAACTGAATTTTTTTTCAATGTAATACATGCGCTTTCTCATTTGTCCTTAGCTTCAAAATATCACCAGTTGATACTGATAAGTCTGTATATACAGACCAGGCATACGCTTTTTGCCTTAAAAAATGCCGAATTGGCGTTCACAACATGTTGTGACGCGATTGTGACGTCAATACGCGTCAATACGCGTCATTATAAATTGTCGACAATACATTCACTAAAGTCAACTCGAATTTTCTGCAGGTATACCACATTATTTATAATATTTTACTTAAGCATGTGCTTAGCCCTACAGTTCAGTGTGTTTTTTTTTATTTTTTTGTTCATGTATATATTTCTTTTCTATGAAATCAACCAACAAAGATCCAGTCTAATTTAGGGATGTAAACAGAATTGAGGGTATTGTGGTATTTGCAGCTCTTACTGCAAGTCATGGCTCCTTTCATAATATTTCCTAAGATCACTGATCGTTCTATCTGTAACATAAAACACTTCTCTTTAGTTTCTCCACTCCCCCCTGCAGGTTGAAGGTACCGTAGGTGTAACAATACAGATTGAGTATAGGGACTTGTATAGACTTATATGATACATATTAGCTAGAAATACGTGTATATATAGGTATTTTTAGCTAATTTTATCATATAAGTCTATACAAGCCCCTGTGGGTTGAGCTTACCAGAGTATATTCCAATACAGAAGGAAAATATTGTCGCAATATAATTTCATAGGCAAAAATGGTATTTTTTTCTGATAATCGGGCTTAATGGGTGTCAAAATGCTGTCATTAAATCTGAGATCATTTGTGTGAAACATTTGTATTGAATTGTATGCTAGTAATAGCCTGGATTATGGTTATTAGCATATCTATTTGACTGTTAGAACATGTTGCGATTCAGCAATATTTTATTATCGGCTTCGCAATGTGATAGATACATGTACGATATGGCCTGTGTTTTGCGATATACTGGTTTTCCGATACATTTTTACACCCCTATAGTCTATACATGCTTTAATAAACCATGATCACACAAAATATCCCAATTAAGCATTGTAAGATAGCTGATATTTTATCATTTATGGATTCATTTTGAGCAATATAAAAAGTTTATTAAGCAAAACTGCATATTTATGCGTGTTTTTTAATCATTGATTAATTCTTATGCTTTCCGGTCGAACTTCCGGTACTTTTTGTGTCAGTTTACAGACGATGGCCAAACGTCTAAAATATCTTTGTGTTGTGTCCAGCAGGTCACGTAGTAACGAAATATAGCTTGACAAAATGTCTGCGCGGAAATATATAACGTTCGGAAACCAACAAATTAATTTTACTGAGAATTATCAACTGATAATACGGAGTTAATTAAACACCAGTACAATCCCAGTACAAACTAGTGATAGGGATTGGAAATTCCTTAATTATCAACCTTAAGTTTTGGTGAAAATGATTTGCTCCAATATGCATTTTCAGTTCTCTTATATCATTTTTTTTCCATTTTAACAGATGAAATATCTCAACCTGGCACTTTGGCATGTTTGAATGTGGAAGGCCTTGCAATTGAGATGCAGAAGGCCGGGGAATGTCACAGAAATGAAAAAAAAATGAAATTATTTGCAGCGTTTGTGATTTATGTTCATAAAACATGGAACATTTTCTTCAAGTAAATCAACCACATGCTTTCTTATTATATCCTAGTAGGTTGGCATGGTTACCTAAGCAGCATGTATGCATACCTGGTCATTGTTAGACTATTTTGATTGACAGGTGGAAATATGTCCGTTGTAGCTTGGTCAATGATTTATTATACTGAAAATAATCATACAGGAGATTGGGTGACTTTCATGTCATTTTGACATATTTCTAGTTTCTTAATTAACTTATTTAAAAATATATTTTACTGACCCAGATATCTCTCTCTCTTTCTCCTATTTTGCTTTCTTTTCTCCGACCACTCCTGATATTTTTGGTCTTGAGCAAATATTAACAACTTTGAGGATCTTAGCAGTGCATCTTACTGGGGAGGACATTCATGCGAAAATAATGGCGGGAAAAGTATAATTTTAGATTACTAAAATCGAGACTTTTTTGGGGGGAGGGTAGAAAGAAAAACATGACTTTACTTCTTTCTAGTTTTGCAAACTTTCTTTAAACCGAAATGCTACTTATTGATGTCATACGTGTAACACACCGACACCTTCACATGATGGTATAGATAAAAGCGTAGCATTGAGACTCGTATTGCTATGATATAGAGATTTCTTAGAATATCAATTCGGTGCAGACTCGTCCTATGACACCGTGGCAGGTTCGGCTCATGCCATACACGGGAAGCTGTTAAATTAATGGGAGGATATAACGTTGCATACTTTATAACGTTATAATTATGCTTATTCTAGTGTGGGCGGAACTTACCACAGACATCATGTCCGAACGTACAATAAGGCGGTGCACATAAGGCCATACAATCTTCCGACAATAAAGAGTTAAATAACTCTTCAAATACGTTTGCCATTTTGTTATAGTTTTATGAAGGGCATAGGTTTCTCTGCCGATTTTAACAAATGCTGTCCAGAACGGGTTTAATGAAAATAGGCCAAACCTGCCCCTGTCTACCAGATATTGGACATTATATATGTAGAATAGTACCTCAATTGAATTATGAAAGGATTAGATTCTAACTAGTCTACTGACTGTGCATATGAAACAGTTAAATTATGCAGAAAACTGTATTATCATGTGTGCCCGCTGACTAGGACTCAACTATTTCAAATTAAATTTCAAATCCTACAATATTTGTATTATGTAAACTTTATATATTATACATCAATTATGAAACAAGTTATTTTAACTGACTTTAACGACTCTGGTTGCCCTGGATGATAGCGCTTAGGGGTCTTAATGTGGTAGAAAAACGGACTACTCGACGAAAACCCACTTGGTCGGGCAAGTGACCCCATACCATTTCGAGTCCGATCGGGAAATCGAACCGCCTTGTTGAAAAGCAAGTGCGTTATTCACTGCGCCACCCGACCACCAAATATTATAATTTAAAAAAAACCAACATATTTCTATTGCTATTATTGTTTGGTTTTCTTTTATCGGCTTGAAGTTTACAAAGGATTTTTTTGGAGACAGTGAAAGATATATCTGACCAATTACACATGTTTTTCTTATTTTACGCTGGTCAATTATTCATCATAGAAATAATGAACAAAACATTTCAATGAAGGGAAGTGTTTCACGGTATCTATGCCAAACAAAATCCTACATTGACCTTGTGCCTTTGTTACAATCCACACAAAGAGGGCATTTTGAAAGGAGCGTTTTGTTTGCACATTCAATGTAACAATAGACGTACCTTGGTATATTTCTTTAAGTCGAAAAAGTCTCAATGTGATAAGTATATTACTTTTTATCAAATATTCTTGACACTTACTAATGTGTATATACCCATGCTGACATGTGGATAACATATATCAAATTCATCCCAATTGGTACTTTTACTTTGTACGAGTTTAGATTCGGAACAAGTTTACTTTTGTACTACTGGGGTTACACTTACTTTATAGATGACCTACATAACCTTGGCGTTATCCTAAAGGCGTGATAGGGTATGGCTGTTGTCGACAGTACGACAGTATAATCCAGGCTACCCCTGAAGGATTGGGATCGAACACACCTGCTGTTACCAACTGCATGTGTATCGTGAGAGGTGAATAATTTGGAAACCACCTGCATAATTGGGGTTTATTTTTTGTGCCTTGTGTTTCGGGACACAAAAGCGACCAAACAAATCCATATTGCACCCATTGCAATATTTCGGATCTTAATATTTTTCTTTACCTCTAGCTTCCTTTTTATTTCCAAGCGCCTTGCGAGGTAATAACTCACTTATGACTTTAATGTTGAACGTTACCCAGGCAAGGAAGGAAATGGGTTCTGTCCCCATACTGGGACATACTAAAGTCCTTAAAAATCCTTCGCAATTTTCTTCGTTAAGATTAAAAGGATTGCAGGGCAAATAGATTTTTGTTGTATGTAATAATGATAAATAAGCAAAATGTCAAAACTCTGATACAAATTCTGACGGTATTGGTTTGCTGTGTTGGTTTGCATTCAGTCAAACCTGGGCTCCCATTCATGAAACCGTTGTCATACTCGAATTCTGTGTTCATGCTCATATTCTTGTCACGTTGATAACTTAAGCACACAATTCATTTTGTTGAATATTTTGGAAAAATATATAAAGAGACTTCAAACCGAATAATATGTTAAATGATGACACCGGACCTTTTGAACGTTATGTATGGTTTAAATGCATTGAAAGAAAGTTGCCTTGAGCACAGCACAGAATCGATGCTTGAGCATGCGTACAGTTTCATAAATGCAGTCCATTGGTATGGACTGTTGTATCGAACCAAACATTCGTCTTCAGCCGAACGTTCCATATCTTGTAATTAATTAATTAATGTAGCCAGATTATCAAGTCCTATTTTTTTTTATTTCCTACGTGACTTTTACTCATAGCTGAGGAATGTTGCTGTATGACGTATCATTGGTCAGCCGGACATACAGGGTTGCTGCATGTATTTGTAGAACTCTAAATCACTGATGTCATCATGTATTGTCAATAGTACACGCCTACACTGCAGAGTTGAGTTGGAATGTCACAACCTCGATTATCCAGGGGTAATGCTCACTTTCGCTCTCTGCATCCCTAGAATATGTCATCGCAAAATTGAAGGCACGCAGCTAGCTATTTCATTGGTCTGAGGTAAATATCTAAAACCAATTGATAGGCTGAAATATGTCCTTTGGAAATTAACGAGTAGCGACACCCGACTTCAAAGCCACTCAATTCTACCAATACGCGACCGACAAATTATTTTGATGTACAACGAAGCAAAAACAATAGTCTCCTCGTCTCATCCACAAGGTGGTACACACTGAGTTTTGGCTTTGGCATATCACAGGCGTGAGGAGGGCGAACGTGAGTCTAACCCCCGGAGGATGGAGGATGGAGGATGGAAAACCATACAGTACAAGACTAGTTTGTTAGTTTGTAACGATATAAGGTAATGTGACGTTTCCTCTATTGGTTCACTTTTGACTTTCCCCCCATGATACATATAGATGATATAACAGGAGTGTTCTTGTAATATTGAGTTTATCAAACGAGTTTATTAATTTCATATGAAATGAATAAACGAACACGAGTGTTAGATTTTATTTATTATATAATTCGAGAAACACATCGGCATAACTGTTCTCAATACGTCTCTTCTATATAGCGACTGACGAAAGGACGCATTACATGCATTATGTTTGGATCTCGCTGCGCCCACAAAAAATAGTTCCAGACACTTCTCCCCGAGAAACATTTATACGAACAAACAATTATTTAGGTTTCTTTTTATCAATCAAAGTTTTAATAATTATCATAACATGAACAATTATTTTTTATACTAAAACCATTCAACGAATTGAAGTTGAAGAAAATAGCAGTGACGTCACATTTTGGCACAACGGCGCGTCCATTGACAAGGTAAAGGTCGTCACAATACACGTTGAAATCGGCACTTTTTAAAAGTTAACAGGGACTAGGAGTGATTGTCACTTTCTATAGAAAACGCGTTTCTTGGGAGAGGGATCTTAATGATTGTGAACCTCGATGATTTCGCGTGTCAGAATATATACTGTGGAATCCGCCATGACACTGGAACACTTACAAAGATGACCGGTTACACGTGGTCGCCATTGTTTGTGTGTGTGTGTCAGAGAAGTTAAAGTGGAAATTTGAACATGCAGCTGTTGAATTTGTGTGAAGTTAACACTCGTGCTCATGTTATATTTAGTTTAATAAACTCGTATATTAATTGATGTCCTTCACAGTGACCCTGCCTCTGACATCAATGCAAACAGTATATCCGGTAACTAAGTCAGCCATTTTGTTTACCAACGTCGAATTTCTACCGCGATGTCAAGACTCATTTGCATGTTTTTGTACATTGCTATATCATTTTTATTGAACGACAATATTGCACGGAAATAGTCCGGGTTATTTTATTCCAAATCACAGTTATGGGATATTTCTTGATTTGTCAAAGACGGCCAATGGTGATGCATTTTTAGCTCACCTACCCGAAGGGCAAGTGAGCTTATGCCATGGCGCAGCGTCCATCGTCCGTCCGTCAACTTTTCCTTTAAAACGCCACTTGTCCTGAACAGCTTAGTGGAATTTAACTAAATCTGGTTTGGAGCATCCTTGGGCCAAGATGACTCAATTTTGTATAAATGGTGGGTGTGACCTCCCTAAGGGCAGAGGGGCGGGGCCCAATAGGGGAAATAGAGGTAAAACCTTTGAAATCCTGCCTCTAACGTAGAGATTAAGGGATTTTATATTAGTTTAGTCTGGAGCATCTTTGGGCCAATGTGACTCAATTTTGTATAAATGGTGGGTGTGTCTCCCCAGGGGGCAAAGGGGCGGGGCCCAATAGGGATAATTGAGAAAAAACGTTTAAAATCCTTCTTCTACCGTAGGGGATTTATTCTAATTTAGTCTGGATCATCCTTGGGCCAAGGGAACTCAATTTTGTATAAGCAGTGAGTGTGTTCCCTCAGGGGGCAGAAGGGCGGGGCCCAATAGTGAAAATATTAGCAAACCTTTAAAATCCTTCTTCTACCAAAGAGATTAAGGGATTTCTTCCCAATACTGCCTCGAGGATCCTTGGGCAAAAGAGACTCAATTTCGTATAAACAGTGAGTGTGGTCCCCCAAGGGGGCAGAAGGGCGGGACCCAATAGGGGAAATAGAGGTAAACTTTTAAAATCCTTCTTCTACCATAGGGATTAAGGGATTTCTTCCCAGTATGGTCTGGAGGATCCTTGGGCAAAGGGGACTCAGTTTTGTATGTGTGACCCCCCCTGGGGGCAGAAGGGCGTGGCCCAATATATTCTTTTTTCAAAATATTTCTTCTTCTGTAGGAATAACAGGATTTTGCCCAAAATTTGGTATGAAGCATCATTGGGTGAAGGGGAATCAATTTTGTATAAACAGTTTGTCTGAGCCGCCTGGGGGAAGAGAGGCGGGCCCAATAAGGGATATAGAGGAATAGCTTTTATATCCTATTATTTTCCTTTGGGATAAAGGTATTTTGACCAAATTTGAATAGTAGCATCTTATTTGAAAGTGAAATCAATTTTGTATAATTGGAGGGTTAAACCCGCTGGGTGCAGAGGGGCAGGGCCAAATAGGTGAAATAGGAAAATAGCATTAAACATGTCTATATGAATACTCCTTCAACACGGCTCCTGCTCTGGATTGTCAATGACTGGGCAAGCACACACAGTGGTGGTGTGTATGGCCATTTTAGTGCTGCCCAGTTATAATTGTTATCTGGAGTAGGAGTGGTGATGGAGGACTAGTTGGTGTTACAAATTATTCAAGTGATATTTAATATTTCCTGTATTGAATGAAGGTTCCAGTTTTTGATATTAATATATGTTGCAAAATTTATAAAATTTGATTATTTACAAAAGCAGCATACACATATGGCTTTTTGAAACATATTTTATATATACTGGTTACTATGTAAAGAAAAAATAACAAAAAAACAGTTGTTTTACCTTATTTTTTTATTTATTTTTTTATTTTTATTTTGCTTAGTTCAGAGATAGATAGAGACTATTAAGTACTAAGTATTAAGTACTAATTAATGTTCCAAGCCAGTGATAATATCAATGTCTAAATTATAATTATGTTATTGTTTGAAATGTATGTAACCCAAGGGGAAGGGCTTGTTTAGGCATAGCCTGTTGCCCAATTCCCATTGAATCATTTGATTTAATAAAATATTTTGAAATGAAATGAGTAAGATAGGTGAGAGGAATGAAAAGGTATGAGTCCGGAATGAGAGTGTGGGGTGAATGATTATGTATAATGTAATGTAATTACATGTTGTAGGCTTCCCTTCGCTGGAATAAATCCTATTATTATTATAAAGAGAAGTAATATTATAACTTCAATATTGTCTACATAAAGATAAGGAGGGTTGTAAAAATATCTGATAAGCCATGTTAACAACTAAATATTGAATCAATGAAAAGACAAACAAAATATTTCAGATTCTTATCATATTTCTTAACATTTTCTTCTGGTTGGTAGGTATGGATTATTAGAAGTTATTTCTAGTTCTAGTCATCGAAATGTCACATAGAAAATGTTATTGGTTGTGTAAAAAAAGAAGTTCTCATAAGATTCTTATCATTTATAGCCGTGAGGGGACACAATTCCAGATTGTCATACATTAAAATGTACTTCATAGCAAGGCAGGGGACACTACTCCTGATTGTCATACATAAAAAGTCTGATGACAAACATCCTGATTATTTATAAATAATTATAAATAAAAATTCCATTGCAAGGTACTTACGAGTGGTGATGGTGGTCTGAGATGTAACTCTGGTTGTAGCTGATATAATTGTGGTCAGTTCGAAGCTGTATGTTGTTGCCGGTCTGGTGTTGTTGTACTGGTAAACACAGTGATCCGTTGATACATAGCCATATTCACCTGTCTCCAGGACTGCGACGGAATACCCATCACTTCTCCCCGGTGTGGTAGGAGGATCCCATGAAACCCTGATTGTGCCATCAGCCACGTACACAGATGTAAGGTTGCTAGGCAGATAGCGTTGTGCTGAGAAACAAAATACATGGGAAAATGTATAGGTCAGTATAACGGTTCATGTCTTATAAACGAAAGGTACAAGTCATTATAAAATGACTATTGAGATATGATAAGTTTATTTATGGTACAGGTTCATTTCTGATTTTATCTACACCAGTTTCCAAATAGTACATTATTTTTTTAAATTACAAAGGCATACTGAGATATGTTACCAAATCCCGTTATTAATTAATGTTATATTTATAATTAGATAAAAGTTCTTGTTAGGCCCAAGGATTATCTAGACTATTGGTTTGTTGCCGTAACTACGCTTCCGAGCTGGTTGTTTATGTTTGGTGCCGTCAGTAAACTCTCGAGTAGGTTGTTTATGGTTGGTGGCGTCAGTAAACTCTCGGGTATGTTGTTTATATTTGGAACCGTCACTACGCTCTCGAGTAGGTTGTTTATGTTTGGTGCCGTCAGTAAACTCTCGAGTAGGGTGTTTATGTTTGGTGCCGTTAGTAAACTCTCGAGTAGGTTGTTTATGGTTGCTGGCGTCAGTAAACTCTCGGGGATGTTGTTTATGTTTGGTGCCATCAGTAAACTCTCGGGTATTTTGTTTATATTTGGAACCGTCACTACGCTCTCCAGTAGGTTGTTTATGTTTGGGGCCGTCAGTAAACTCTCGAGTACGTTGTTTATGTTTGGTGCCATCAGTAAACTCTCGAGTAGGTTGTTTATGTTTGGTGCCGTCAGTAAACTCCCGAGTAGGTTGTTTATGTTTGGTGCCGTCAGTAAACTCTCAGGTAGGCTGTTTATGTTTGGTGCCGTTACTAAGCTCTCGGGAAGGTTGTTTATGTTGGGGGCTGTCACTACACTCTCGGGAAGGATGTTTATGTTTGTCCCGTCACTACGCTCTCTGGTAGGTTTATGTTTGGTGCCGTCACTACGCTCTCTGGTAGGTTTATGTTTGTCCCGTCACTACGCTCTCTGGTAGGTTTATGTTTGGTGCCGTCACTACGCTCTCTGGTAGGTTTATGTTTGGTGCCGTTGCCATGTCCTCGGATATGCTGTTTATGTTTGTTGCCATAACTTCGCTCTCTGGTAGGTTGTTTATGTTTGGTGCCGTCACTACGCTCTCGGGTCGATTATTAATGAAGGATTAACTTTCTATTGAGTTTAGGTTATCGGGTGATAGCTACAATGGAACTCGGGTAAACTAAACTAAATAGAAAGTTAATCATTATATACAAAATAAAATGTTTACATAAAACGCGTTCTTTTAACAGGAATATATCCCGCGGGAGGATAACAAGCATTCTAAAATTTAAATTTCTAAGCAATTTAAAATTTTGATTTTAACTTTAATCATTACAAAACCAAGTTCGTGTGCTGTAATCTAACTATCAGTATTTAGGCAGGCAATTGGCATGTAGGTCATGTATATTTATCCAACCCGTCCTGTGATTACCATTATCTACTAGCCTTATCGAGTGCAGTTGAAAATATTACGGCAAAATTGCCGTATGTCAAAATTGAATTTAATATCGTATTTCTGGGTATTGTTTACACTATGTCATCAAAGCAAACGTTTGTGAATGAACATAATACGGTAAAAAAACACAAAATCCATCGGGCGCTGTTAACAACGTGACGTCATCGGAATGTATAAATTTCAACAATGTATGTATACATTTCAACAATGTATCTTTTGCATGAATTATACACTGAAGGAGTTGTACAAATCTGATATCCCCGGTAATTCTGTTTACTTCCTAAAATAGCAATGGAACCCCCGGGTTGTTTGTATCACTACGCAAACGAGAATGACTGTCGTTATCGTGTGATAATGACAATAACCTCAACAAAGGTTATTGAGTCAATTACACTTGAAATGATAATATTGTTTAGTGACGTTTCTTCGTTCTCGGGGAGGTTGTTTATGTTTGGCGCCGTTACTACGTTCTCGTCTAGGTTGTTTATGTTAAGTGCCGTCACTACGCTCTTGCGTATGTTGTTTATGTTTGTTGCCGTCACTACGCTCTCGGTTATGTTGTTAATGTTTGGTGACGTCACTACGCTCTAGGATAGTTTTGTTCCATATATGAACACTCGCAGTGAAAATGGTCCTTGCCGGCTGTGGAAAGGTATTTTTAGAGTTTCCTCCCCTGTTGTTCCTGTCTGTCATATCTTCCCATTGCTTTAGAATGTTGTTGGCTCCCCGGTCGTACATGTTTAACGTGCCGTTCGTGGTCATGTATCACTCAAGCATACCCCCTCCAATACGTCGGTATGCCAATGTTGGTATCTTAAGTTTGGCTGATATGTAAAGCCCTTCTTTCCTGGTAATCTTTTCTTTTACCTTCCATGTACTTCTTTCAACTTATCTATCTCCATGTGTCTAAACGGTGACCAGCCAGACCTGGCAAAGCCCAAGTGAACCATAACGAGTGGTCCAGATGTTAAAATGATATCAAGGGAGAAGGAAACACTAAGCGTAGAGATATATGCAAACTCCTACATTTCATATGATTAAATAACTTTTTTTTTGTAGTTTTGCTCATTTGTATGGCTTCTGTATTTTGCTTTTGTTTCTAAAAAGTTTGTTTCTCCAAAGAGACAAAATTAAAAAACATGACGTGGTGTCACACCACGTGAAAATACTTCATACTATTGTAGAAGTACGGGTTGTTAGGGTGTGTTTGGGCCTATACTGGTATGTATGTGTGCCTGCAAGTTACTATCAGTGTGGGCATGTGGATCAGTGATTGTGTGAGGGCGTGAATGAATTGAAAGCTGTATTAAATACTTTGTGCCTGTTATTTATGTATTACTGTCGCTGGGATGTGTGACTGTCACTCGTGTCGTCCATGTTGTTTATTTACTTTCCTATTTCCGTCACTGTCCAGAAGCCAGACCTTAGCTGATTGGCTCACGACTCCAACGTGTTAGCTTGGCTGTCATTGGCTGCCGGTTAATATAAACACGGCAATACACGTGCAAATCTTCAGTTATGTAGTAGCTCTGAGAGCTGAATCTAACTCGTCTGTCTTGTCTGTCCTGCTCTTAACGGGTCTGTTTCTATAAGGTGGGTGTTTGAATGTGCAACGTTACTTGTGTTTGTGTATGTCCCGGGCGAAGCCAAGTAGCTGACCCGCTATGTTAATTATGTGTCCCAGCGGTGGCCGTAGGTAAGGGCCCTCGTCGTGTTCTTGTGTACATGTTTGTTTACTTCTATCTTCTGTAATAAAGTCTATTAAATGTTATTTGGGACTTGTTCATTTGTACGCTAGGAACCACGTGGTACCCTAGACTAGAACCTGGGTTGACTTATACGATGACTGAGGTCACTTCTCCTACACTATGAACATTTTCAGAACAAACGGGGGTTTAGAGTGTTGAAACCACACCAGATACAGAAGAAAGACAGATATTCACGTATCATCCTGGTTTGCATAAACTATCAAATACAAAACAGATTCTATTCATACATCATACACAGGTCAAGAACATGTTCAGCGTTTCACTAGTATTATAATCATTAATATTAACCTAGGAAATATCAGAACATTCATCCCATCGCATTTTTGGTGGGTTTTTTTACAGGAAGTTCCAAACATTATTTGCCATGATAAATATATGTTTTGTTTGCAAAACTATTTCTACATCCCTAGAACAACACAATAAAGTTTATACTTACCACCATTAAATGACGCCAAACACACAAACAATAAAATCAACAGCGCTTTGTAATCCTCCATCTTCCTGTGCATTTTATAAAACTTCAGATGATTGTGCAAAACAAGGAAGTATAAAGTTTTCATAACTGTCGTAACAGTTCAAAGTTCACAACCAGACTCCCAGATGATGTCAGCACTAGTTTGTAGTATGAATAAGGAAATTGATTAGTTCTTAGGATGGTAAAGAAACTTCATTTCACTCTTCTTTTCTTCTAAATACAAATATTTTTCAGTGATGGAGGGATTCTACACCGACCGAGTTGTATCCCTCCTTTCGGAAGTTCTACACAGACTATCTACAATATCCTCTATTCATAATATTATTTGATGGTATTAGCTATTTACCGCGCACTTCCGAAGCTGTATCAATAAGGATAACGTTTTGTAAAAAATACTTTTAAAACAACAGTTTAGTTATTACACTATAGGTTCCTTATAATATATAGTTATGCATCACTTTTAGCCTAGAGATAATTCATTTTTTAAGTTCAGACAGCATTAAAAGACGTATTTTTAAATCAAAATCCTATATTTGTTCACGTTGTCAAATCTGGCGCGAGCGAGGACTTTGTTTTCTATAAGTGTACTTGTGTTATTTGAATGTTACAAGTGGGTGATACTTAGTATGATGATCAATACTTCCTGTGTTACAATAACTGGAGGACCATGCACATGAAAAAAAACTATCGACGTCCCATCTGGCGGATATAGGAACTATTACTCTATCGGTCAAATTACAGTCACATTAACTCTGATCAGAACCACAGGGGCTCGGTTTCGGGATACTTCCGGTTAGTAATACAACTATACACACCAGTCAATAAGAGCAACACTTTGTATCTGGTGTTTTTACGCATTCTAACGTAATGAAAGTTGACTGTTGAATTAAAGGTTGAAGAGAATAGTTCCCCTATGATAGGTAACAGATCTGGTTATTTTGGGCAGTAAAATTGGCTGATGTCTCAAACGGATTTTCTCGAGGCATGCGTATCTTAAGAAAACCAGGGCTTTGGCAATATAGGCCACGTTAAAAAAATTATGAATAAGATTATCGTTTTTATGACTAAAAATTGTAAAACAGCACATGATTACTATGTATATTGGTGAAACTATCATTGCTTTTACTTTACTTATGGTATCTACAAATCTAAGAATGGTTCAAACCGACCGAAGTCAATTTGTTTTTATGGGAAGCACAAAGTTACTCATGGGATCTCTTTTTTAATTGAATTGTATTAAAATTAACGACTAGTCTTGAATTAGTTAACTTCGAATCTGGAGTATCCTTCGACATCCTGGCCGCGTGACGTCTGCTTATTATGAGGTCATCTGACATCTTTATTTTGATGAAAGAGAGAAAAAAAACATTTTTAGACATGAGTAACTAGAAGCTATTTAGAAACCAAAAGCTATTTATACTGTGAAGCTCACGACGACGACGTGAAGTTGGCATTGAAGATCAGCTCTTAACTGATACATTAGGATTATGCAACATACATACATGTTTATTTAGACATACAAACATACAGGTTTGTATCCCCAACTTTGTGCCAATTTCATTTAAAACTTAACATTGCGGACATATTTTTTTTGGTAAAAAAATAGTGATTGTGCAATGAAAGAGAAACAATATATTGGCATTTCATCAAATTCTCAACTTTCTACAAATGCTTGTCGATTTTTATAGCAAGAAACTGAGCAGAGTTGTTAAGGTGTGATATGGGTGTATAAAAACGACGGCATCGGGACGAACAAACGTATTTTCAGAACTTGGTTTCAAATAGCTTGGAACCTTAAAATAGCAAAGTTTAAATTGATAGTACCAAATGGATCACGAAGCCATATTTTTCATCATTCGAATTTAATTAGTTAATGGTTGTATTAAGGGAAAGATATCGATGAGTATTCTAACGAACGATATAAAAACTAAACGCCTACGTGAGATATTTAAAGATCACTTTGACGTCGCCAAGTTCCGAAAATACCTTTGTTCAGGTTCCTGCGAATGCGTAACCACGTAACATCCTTTCTTCTTCCCTAATTCTCTTCCATATCTACCCCACATAACCATTCATACTTTCCCCCCTATACCTACTATATATCATTCTTCCATTTTACGTAAACATTCGCTTCCCTTATTATCTAGATATCATATTCCTAATCTTTTCTCCAGGCCCCAAACCCAAATTGAATTACCGCCATCTGTCATACCCATTCTTATCAACTTTCGGTTTTCTGTCAACAAACCCGATGCTTCCGTTCCATCTCCTGCCTACAATATTTCTTTAGTACAGGTACAAGGCAGTCACATGAAAATCCAGTGCCATATGTTGTGATACGTTTGACACCTGGTTCCATGTCGACTGTCAGGGAATGAATAAATCGTCCCTCAAATACTACGACCATAGCGGGGTATCTTGGGACTGTCTAAACTGCGGGCTTCCAAACTTCTCCACAACACTATTTGACAACACAAGCATTGACACATCAAACAGACTTTCACGACTTAACAACTCTAGCATACACTCAAGCTTACACGACGACCCCACCAGCCCAGGCCCACCCACAGCATCCTCCTCACAATACAACAAAACAACAAGCTACAACAAATTTACTAAACCAATACGCATAACCACCATTAACGTGCACTCCATTTCCAACAAAAAACCTAACCTCGACCAAATAATACACTCACTGAAACCAGACATCATAATAGGAACAGAAACATGGCTCAATAACACAATCTCCTCATATGAATACTTCCCAGTCCCATCTCCATGACAAATTCACACAACCTTACCATAGGAGCATACTATAAGTGGATAATCCAACGTACCACACATAGACTGGCAAAACAACACAACCATACCAGGCAAACAAGAACAAAAACTTCACCAGCACCTTCTGGACATAATAGACAACAACTACCTCACACAAAAAGCCCACCAGAGGAGACCACATACTCGACCTGATACTTACAAACAGACCTTCAATCATTAACAAGACTGAAACAACAAGACCTATAGGAAAATCTGACCATGACATAGCCTACACTGAAACTGACGTTCGGCTGAAAAGAATAAGAAGAGAACCCACAAAATGTTACCTCTACAACAAGGCTGACTGGAACAACATAGGAACGATCTCAAACGTCTAAACACAAAACTTAACGAACAAAAAACCCAAACCGCAGACAATCTTTGGAACATGTTCAGAACAACACTTAATAACTCAGCCACCAAAAATATCCCACAAAAACACATCACATATGAATCCAAACCCCCGTGGATAACACATTCTCTCCTTCGACTAATGAGAAAATGTAAACAATTACACACGAAAAGCAAAACAAAACATGAACTTATACAGAAATGTAAATCAACAAAATCAGAACTACAAAAACAAACACGTAACGCATATCTAAACTACATAGAAAAAATATAAAAGACCTACCAATAGACGAACCCGGCACACCCTCGCCTAGCAAAAAATTCAATTCCAAAAATCTATTCTCCGACATAAAAACCACAAGAAAAGAAAATACCGACATAACCGCATTACGTACAGACGGACAACTAAAAACTGACACCACATGCAAAGCAAAATACAGTACAGTGAGATAAACAACAAAGAAGACACACTAAAACTGCAACATGCCATCTACATCAATGACTTCCACGAATACAGTACACTGAGACTCTTTGCAGACGACACCATCATATACAAGAGGTTAAACAACAAAGAAGACACACTAAAACTACAACATGACATTGACACAGCAGGACAATGGGAAACAGACTGGCTAATGAAATTTCACCCTTACAAATGCAACATACTCAAAATTACACCAAAACGCATTAAAATACACTATGCCTACAAACTCCATAACCACACATTACACCAAGTAGATTCCAACAAATACTTAGGCTTAACATTACAAAATGACTTACGATGGGACAAACATATTAACAACACCTGTTTAGTAACAGACATGATCCCCAATTACAATGGCCAACACTACAAACACGGCGCTTTCACACAATAATGATCCTTTTTTTACAAAATTGTACACCAAATCGTAGCTATAAACCCAACATTTATACTCACACCCGTAGACCCTCGAACCAGAACACAACTCTGCTACAAGATACCTACAAATATTCATTTTTTCCACACACAATAACACAATGGAAACTCCTACCCATAACAGCAGTATAATGCACAACACTAGAGGACTTCAAGGCACACATTCCCTATGCAGCCCTTGATGCCCTCATCACACGCTAAAACATATGCCAGCTTTTACCTTTTATCTATACCCTGCACACACACAAAACACTAATCACTGTAAATAACCCCATTTTCACGTCTCTGTAATAGAACCCCGAGGGCATAATCGTCAACATTGATGGAGCCCCTGCACCCTAAAGAAGAAGAAGAATTAGCGTTGCCGGTTATTATATTATATGTCAGTACCCAAAACGGATCACAGCTTGAATTAAGCAATATTTTGTGCTTTAAATGAACATTTTTTTATCAGCATTTAAACATTATATAATGAAGTTTCAGGTTAGTATGAATACAAATATTCTACAATCTTAAATAATTCCTACAGTCTAAAACAAAACAAAAAAGTCCTCGCCTGCTCCTTTTTATTTAAGAAACAAATTCAACATACGAAGATTTGCACAAGCTCCAGAAACAGGGGCAAACTATCAGAATGGACTTTACAAGTTCCAATTATTGAAAACATACACGTTGATTGAAATATAAGGTTTGAATCTTGCTTTGATCGATTTCAGTGGGTGACGGATTGAGTTGGTCTTGAAACAAATTCAACATGAACTGCTTCGCAGATCATTTAATTTGTTTCAAGACCAACTTAATGTATCACCTCATGAAATCGACTAAAGCAAGATTCAATCCTTAATACACCCTGTCTGTCGTAGTGCAATACACACACAATACTTCCGGTGACGATTGTGCATGCATAAATATATATAGGTTGTATTGTGTGTATCTATCAAAAACATAGACATTATATCACT